GGACTTGGGTGACTTTAAAACACCAGCAACAAAGACGCTGGCTTATCTTTTTATTGTTTTACTAGAGGCCCAATGCACGAAATTCTTGCACTGGGGGGAGGAGGGGCAGGGTCCCTCAGCCCAGCCTGCGTCCTCTCACAGTCCAGGACCCCTCAGGGGATGTCCACCTGCCAGCTTAGATCTGCTCCCCACGCTAAGCCGGCAGTTGGACATCCCTCCCACAGTCCAGGACCCCTCACTCCTTATCACCCGCATTCTCACTGCTCCATAGTGCTGCCACTGAGGCAGGAGAGACTCCCAACACCACCACTGCGTTTGCCAGCCATGTGACAGCTTCTGGCAGAGTGTCAGTCCCCGTGTTGAGTGTCTGCCCCTTGGTGGTCGGTGCACGTCATAGCTATGGGTTGTTACGCTGGTCGGCCGATTTGCATATTAGGCTCTTATTATATAGGATGTTAGTGGATGTAGCGGGCACAGAGATGCAGCCCTGCTTCAAGAATAGATTTGCTTTCTAGCTGCAAAAAGAGAAGAGAACCTGCTTCAAGAATAGATTTGCTTTCTAGCTGCAAAAAGGTGGTTATCTGGTACCTCCAGCTGTTAATTCCTACAGGTTGGGCCTCATCTCTCCAGCCAGGGCAGCCAATGACCGAGAAAGAAGAGAGCATCTAACAGGGAGAGAAAGTGCAAGATGGCCCTCTAGTGACGTGGAAGGAAGAGACAGTTGGGGGCAAGCCCACAGGAATGCCAACTTTTTAAACTGCAACACCTACCACTCCAGTGGCTTCTTTTGAGGGTGGCATTCTTTGTCCCCCAAGTTAAAAAAGAAAAACAAATATAAAGAGGCTGGGAGGATTTATTTTAAATGATCTAGAGAATGAAAAGACAAGCCAGAATGGGAGAAAGGAAATGTACAAAACACATATCTGATAAAGGATGTATATTCAGAACCTATATTAACCCCCTTTTTAAAAAAAATATATTTTATTGATTTTCCACAGAGAGGAAGGGAGAGGGATAGAGAGCTAGAAATGTTGATGAGAGAGAAACATCGACCAGCTGCCTCCTGCACCACCCCCACCGGGGATGTGCTCGCAACCAATGTACATGCCCTTGACTGGAATCGAACCTGGGACCTTTCAGTCCGCAGACTGACGCTCTATCCACTGAGCCAAACCGGTTTCAGCAGAATCTATATTAACTCTTAAAACTCAACAAGAAAACCCATTTTTTTCAATATGGGCAACAATCTGAACAGACCCTGCCCCCCAGAAGGTATATGGATGGCAAATAAGCAGACAAAAAGATGGTCAACGTTATTTCTCCATACAGAAATGAATAAACAGACCACATGGTCACTGCAGCTGGAGCTCATTCCCTGCTGGTGGTAATGCAAAATGGAAGTCATTTTGGAAGAGAGTTTAGCAGTTTTTTTTTTATAAAATACTACAGGCCCAGTGCATGAAATTCGTGCACAGATACAGTCCCTAGGCCTGGCTTACAATCAGGGCCATCTTCCCCAGATGCCGGCAGCTGGCTCCACCCCCAGCTGCCACCCATCCCCAATTCCCTGTTCGCCATCAGGTGTTCAGAGCCTGCTGGCAGGGAGAGGAACCATCCTTCAAACCGCCAGGCAGTACCCTTCAGTGTCAAGGTCATGAAAGACTGAGAAACTGTCATAGGTGGGAGTCATTTAAAGAACCATTAATGACTAAATAAATGCAATGTGGTATCTGGATTTGATCCAGGAACTGAAGAACATTAGTGGAAAAACAGGTGAAAATCAAATCAAATCTGCTGTTTAATAAATAGCACCGTATCAATGCGAGTATCTGAGTTTTAACAGATGTGCTATAGTTTACATAAGGTGTTAACATTAGGGGAAGCAGAGGAAAAAGGATAGAGAGTAAATATGAAATTATTATAAAATAAAAAGGTTGTTTAAAAAAATGTATAGGAAAGCCACAGCAGCATGGTTGTACTTAAAATTAAGAAAGGGACTTACAGAAGATTATACACATTTTCTCAGTAATTGATTACCATCAGTTTATTTGTAAACATAGTATATGTGTCAATAATCAAATTGACAACACTTTATACATTTCATATTTAATATCATACCAGAAAACAATCCACTGTACTGAGTTACAATTTTGGTACTTTAAAATCTTTAAATACAAACTGTATTTGAAACACTGAACATAAAAGAGAAAGATTAATAACAGAAAACTAAATACATCAAATAAAAGAAACCAATATTTTTAAAAAAACAAACAAACACAAAATCATCTGATTACATACTTAAAAGGGAGGAAGTCAGATGATCATCTTTTTTTAATAACAAAGTTGTGGTTCTTTAGACCCACTTGAGGTGAAATTGTGTCACACTAAATTCCATGTCCTTCCTGATTCTTTTTTTTTCTTAGTTTCCAAGGAATGTTTGCCATGGTTTAAGCTACATTACAGGGGGGAAGAAATGGGAGGTAGCAAAAGCCAATGAAATTACTTTAAACATCTGCAAAAGAAAAATATTTCACATATCATCTTTGGAAAATAATAAAGTCTGTATTTTACATTTACCTTGATGTTGAAATGGATCAATACTTGTAAGATTTAAGAGATGCATCTTTACAAGAGATAAAATATAAATGAGACAAAGCCAAATTCATAAAGCAAAGCACAAAGCAGCCTGCACATTTTGCTAACAGCTATAAAAATGCAGACCACCTGCCTGGAGCTTAGTGGTTAGTGCGCCAGGCTCTGCACCAAAGGGTCGCTGGTTCAATTCACGGTCAAGGGCACATCCCTGGATTGCAGGTGCAATCCCCAGCCCTGGCCAGGATGCGTGTAGAAGGCAACCTATAGATGTGTCTCTCTTACATAGATGTTTCTCTCTCTATCCTTCCCTCCTGCCCTCCACTCTCTCTAAAAATCAATGGAAAAAACATCAATGGGTGAGGATTAACCAAAAATAAAATAAAAAAAGACTGCCCTCCTTAAAAATGAGGTTTTCAGCTGGGAACCAGAATCTTTCCTTATTCCCAGGAGAAACCAGAGCAAGCCACATGCTTTTTCAGTACTTTCCCTAAAATTCATGATCATTTTGGGGTTCTATTTCTTTCTTCCATTATTTCTCAAAGGAAATGCAGCAGCAAATCACTCCCACATTTTAAGTTTTAAATTCACCAACAACTGAGTTCACTGCCAACAAGTACAAATAACTGATTCTTTATTAGTGTACATGTCACTACAATAGACTTAGACTGGTAATACAGGAATAAATAAAATAACTACAGTTAATTCAAACAAAGCAAATGAGATTAAAGAGCCCTGATCAAATGAAATATTTTCAACTTTTGGTTGAAAAACTAAGTTACATACATACCTAATAGCACTAGGAATGTCCAATATCAACTATTGGGGAGAATGAGTGATTCACAGTCATAAGAAATTATTTTAATAGTATGTATTTTTCCTTTTATAGACAAACATTTATAAGATACACTGATTTCTACCTCATATAAGAGAAAGTAGAAAACTAAAAGTTAACTGCATTTACCTAAACATGGCACTGACTTGCCACAGGTAACCTGCTCCAAAGGATTCAATTCTGTGGGAAGGCCATGGGCTGAATGCTATTTTAACAGTTATGTTAACAGTTTTTAAAAAGGCATATATTTCCAGAAGTATGTTGAAATCCACAAATGTCAGTTCTATAAATAATAAGAATTATCAGCAAAAATGTTTAGGCTTTAACATTCCCAAATTATCTAATGCCTTAAGTGTTTTAGATATATGTTATTTGACCAGTTCATTTGGTTACAGTTTTAAACTAGCAAACTGTTATCCTAAGAGAAGAGCTAAACTATAACACTGCACAAACTTCCCAAGGTAACTTGAAAAATCTAAAAAGTGATTCCAATTATCCTAATATTTGAGACACTAAAAGAATCAACAACTCAAGAAACATTTTGAAATTACTCAATTTTCCTTTATCATTTCCTCCCCAAACTATTCACATAAATTTAAGATCCAAACTGCCTAAGAATAGATCTTCAAAGTAGGCTTTTCACTAAAATATTTTGATCAGAAGACATAGCTTTAATGCTTCTCTTATATAATTCTAACCTAAAATCACAACCCTTGGTTTGAGAATATAAAATTCAATTTCATAACAATTAATTGGTAACACTACAAACAAAAACAAGTCACGGTGAAAATGTGCAGCAGCCACAGCTACAAGAATGGGAAATAAATTCCATTTTTTCAGAAAGACTCTATGAAAATATAAAGTCCAAAGTGAGTGACAACAGAAGTCCACATATAAATGTTGTTTAAAAATAGAATGCTTTCCAAAGCTTCTCATGAGATGTCAATGTAGAGTCAGAGTCGGAATTAAGACCTTCTAAATCAAGGGCAAGTTATACAGAACTCTGCTGATTTACATACCTTCAACAAAGTTCAACTGATATACATAATTTACAGACAGCTACAGGAATTCGTAATGCCCCATCACATCATTTCTCAGGACTGGGTGTGTATGTTTCATAGTTTTGCTACTTGAAGTACCAAGAAGCCTTTGCAGAGGAAGAGTTCCCCTCTTCCCATGATCCCCTACAGAGTAAGTAACAAAATATAAAACTAAACAAGATTTACGTTTGATACCCTAACATATAAAATTACCACTGCAATATTCATAGTGACTGCTTATAAACCTAACAGTCATCATAAAGCCTATAAAGTATATCCTGTTTATAAAAGAAATGCAGATTGTCTCAAGGTAAAAAATGCAGTGCAGGCTGCTACAAAGCTCTTGGTTGCATTGGGAAGTGCAACGATGAGGAAAACTTCAGAGACCATGAACGTGCTCCCCAAACTTTGAACATCGGGTAACCATGAATCGCACGGCAGCGGCAGGATACTTTTTTAGTGGCTGGCACTATAAAGCTAATCTTAAGAAAGAAAAAAGGTAGAAAGTGTGAGCAACAAATGGTGTAACCAAATCATTGCATATGGAGACTAGCAATACGCAGTGAGGAAGGTGACCGTCCACTCCATTCTGATAAGATGCCATCTTTAAATACTAAGTTCTTTGCAGGCAGTGGGACTCCCAGATCTGCTTGGGATGACTGGGAGAGCAAACTTGAAAAGCTGGCCTCTGTGTGAATATCCAGTGTTGAAGCACCTTCCTAAAAGATCAGAAACAAGAGAAAAATTTTGTATTCTACATGTTACCAAACCACTTAGTATAGCTAGTGAGAAAAATAGACTTTGATTAATGGAGAAATGTTTATGGAATGCAAAGCACTAATGGAGATGCAAAGACTTACCTCACAAACACAAAATAATCAATGAGAGGTATTAACATATGCAGAAATGACTACCACAAGTTAAACTATGCTAAGTGCTTTGAAATGAATAGAAATACTAGGCTATGAGACTATGGCATAGAAGAGGTTAGTTCTCAGACAATCTAAAAACCCTCACGCAGCATTAAGCACCAGGACAGCCACCCACTCCCAGGGCTCTCACAGGCATATAATCAGACTGCCCCAAGAACTCGGGGCTCAACATGCCCCTGACATTTGCTCTCAGGTGCTGCACCACACGTGTCACACCTACCATGTCTCCTATTCCCCACATCAAGCTACTCAGGAATATGAGAATCTCTCGATTCCTCCCTTCCTGCCTCACCCTCAATATTTTCCTCACATTTAACTAATCACTAAGTTCTGTCAATCAACCTCCAACATGGATTTCAAAATAATTTACGTTATTCACCATACCCACTGCCAGTTTAGACCAGAGGCCTCCAAAGTGGGGTACTCATTGTAAAGTGGGATATGGTACTATGAAGATTTTTAAATCTTCTACCTACTTATTGCATCCTTTAAGAATTTCTATGTTTGTATATGTTTTATAATATACAGAATTTATTGGTATAACATGTAATAAACAAACCTATATTGTGGATACCTACAAAATTGTGGTTTTGTGGGTTTTTTTTAATGAGAAAGGCTGCTACTGACATCTCTCATTTGGGCTAATAGTCTCCAAACTAATCTTACTTCTATGCTTGCCCATTTTTAATCTATTCTCTAATCTTTAAAGAAATAATGTCATTCTCTGTTCAAGTCTTTAATTCACTCAGCATAAACCACAAATGCTTTAATACATTCTAGAAGGCCCTCCTCATCCCTCTTGCCACTGCCACCATTTCACGAGGCTTCTGAAACTCTGGCCTTCTGTTTTCTTGACATAGGACCTTTGTGCCTGCTAAGCTCTGTCTGGAATACTCTTTCCATCCTTTAGGTTTCAGATTATATAGCATGTCTACCTATTTGAAATAGGTCTAGCTTTGGAACCCATCAGATTTGAAGGAGCCTGACTCCTTCAAAGTACCTACTGAAATAGACATTTACTTGACTATTGTCTTGTACAATCCTCTCAGCTCCTCTAGTGTCTTAGAGATCATTGTTTACCCAGCACCTGGTAAAGGGTCTGGCATGGAGGAGACACAAGTATTTATTGACAGAATGAATGAAACAAAGCTCTAAAATATTAATTTCATAATATTAGATCAGATATTCCATTCTAGTTTATCTATAAATTAAATCTAGAGTATCCTTTCCTCTGTTGGGACACAGGACACAAAAGGTCTAGAGCACTGGTTTTCACTACCACAACAGACAATGGCGCTCACTGCAGTTATTAATGGAGTACCGGACTCAAGAACCAGCACATCGTACGATGCATGGCCTGTAACAGCTGCTTTCCACACTCCTGCTGAATGAAGCACTGGCACAGAACAGAGTCCAAGCTTTAGAGCCAGAAGACCTGGCTCGTGAACTCAGGTGCAAGTCAGTTTACTTCCTGAATCTTGGTGTCTTTGTGTATAAATTTAAGTTAATGCTTGTTTCATGTCTTACTGCAATGGAGATTCAAAGCAAACATGGAAGTGTTTTGCATTTAAAGCTCTACACCAATACCATTTGGATCTTCTGGTTTATTACCTGGAATGAGTGAACAAAATTAAGGACTTGTAGAGAAAGTTTTCTACTGGAATGTAAGAGGTTTTGAAGGCTGGAAAAAAAGGGAGAAGAGTTTAGTACAAATATAATGACAAGAGTTTAATTTTACTAATTTCAAAACATTTATATCGGCATATAAATCCTGATTAACCACATTAAAATTTTTTTAAAACCAATTTCAATGGTTCTCATCAATGAAATTTGTGCCTCTCTTAATAATAGGAGTAACAGTACATAAAAAGACCATTTTGAAATAAAACATCATAAATTACCAAAAATTAAAATTTATTATTATAAGGTTTAAACTGCTAGCAAATATAAATGTTTACTAAATAAACCTTTTTAAATAAAAATGTATGTACTTGGAGGGATGAAGTCTGACATATTTAACATACATCAACCCACCAAATTAAATATTTTTCAAATATATAAATAGGTAACAATTATAGTGACAATCTTTAAAGCTGTAGTATTTTTATTTTATTCATGTCTTATTTTATTTTCAGAGGACAGTTATTAAAAATTACTTGTCACCCTAGCCAGTTTGGCTCAATGGATAGTGCGTCAGCCCTGAACCTAAGAGTCCCAGGTTCAAATGTGATCAAGGACACATACCTCCTCCAGTCAGAGCATGTGCAGGACACAACTAGTCGATGTGTCACTCTTACATCGATGTTTCTCTCTGTCTTTCCCCCTCCCTTCCATTCTCTCTAAAAATCAGTAGAAAAATATCCTCAGGTGAGGATTAACATAAGTAAATAAATAACTTGTCTAATGAGTACTTTTAATTTTCTGATATAAGCTACATTAAGCCAGTTAAATGATCGGTAAATATCACCTCTCCAAATTACCCATTATGACAATCAGATTCAATGATGATCTTTTCTAATTAACCTAGTCAGTCTCAGAGTCTTTACAACACTATCTCTTAGCAGCCATGACCAATGGATCAGAGTTGTCATACATGTCATTTCTGGTAAGTAAAAATGCTCATTTTAGGAAATGTGGAAATTAAAGACAACTTTGAAAGCCAGCCATAATTCCATAAGACATAATCACTATTAAAATAACATAACTTGAGTGTGTGTTTGTTGAGTAAGAGAAGTCCACAAAAAATTCTCTACAGACATTTATGTATTTTTAAAAAACCAGGCTCATACTCTCAGGAGTATTCTTGGTTTACCACACCCTCACCAAATTTGGGTAATTAAGTAAATCCTATCTAATAAAAAGGCAATATGCTAATTGACTATCACACCTTCACAAAGATGGCAGTGCCCACAGCCAATAAGGAGGGAATATGCTAATTGACTGTCATACCCTCAAAGATGGCGACACCCAGTCCTCTCAGCCCCGTTGGGGTGACAGGCGCATGGCACGACGAGGCCTGCCCCTAGGCAGCTGTTCCACACACCTGCCAGTCTCCTTAAGCCCCCCAGCTGCCCTGGATCGGCCCGAGGTGCAGGCAAGCCTCGGATGGCAGCTGCCCAGCTGCCCAGGGCCAACCGAGGCTCAGGTAACCAGGGCTGGCTGAGGCTTGCACTGCTGACAGTGGCAGCAGCAGAGGTTTGATGGGAGTATCGTCATCCCCTGATCACGGGATCACCTCTCGCCCCTGGGTGCTCCCAGACTGTGAGAGAGGGTAAGATGGGCTGAGAGACCCCCTGCCTCCAGTGCATGAATTTTCATGCACTGGGCCTCTAGTATAATTATAATTAACCAAAACATGTGCCTAAAATGTTTGCATGTGCCTAATTTCTGAGGTATAGAAGTTTAATTTTGAAAATAAAGCAAACTTTATTTAATAAACAAATATAAACAGGTAATTACTATGTTTATGTATAAAATAAAAGAAAGATATAGCAAATATTACTGACTTGAAAGTCTCATAGATGAAAAGATGACAATGAATATAAACCCTTACCTCTCTTTCCTGCAAAGGCCATGGGTAGCAATTTTTCTACAAACTTTCCGGTTTAATTCAGAACTAAACAATGGAATTCCAAAGCACAGCTCGAGAGGAACCCAGTCTGCTTCTGTTGTGGCAACTATAAAAGGACATGTAAACTTATTAGTCATGCATAAATTTATATGTTATAACTGACAGAGGTTTCTTAATTTAGGTCCATGGATTTTCATAGATTCCTCTCACCCACTAATGGACTGAGCAGAAGAGAGAACTCGGGAGAGGGAAGGAGTGTGAGTGAATCTCTGAAATAGGAAATAATATTTTTTGAGGATGTACATACTTCTGAGAAAGCACTAGTTTTCATCAATGTTCAAAGTGGTCTTTTACCTAATTGAAAGATAGCTACAAAATGAGAGAATTAACCAAAATATTTAACAAAGGAAAAATGAAACTTAAGTCACTATTCTCATTTTGTATTTTAATAGTATTTTACTATTCTAAATATACAAAAATGTTTGCTAGAAAATTCTTATTACAAGGTCCATTATGGACAAATGACATCCAAATGACTTAACAAAAAAGTTAAGCCCTGGTTGGTGTGGCTCAATGGATAGAGTGCCAGGCTGTGGACTGGAGGGTCCCAGGTTTGATTCTGGTTAAGGGCACATATCCAAGTTTCAGGCTTGATCCCCAGAAGGGGGCAGGCAGGAGGCAGACAATCAATAATATTCTCTCATCATTGATGTTTCTATCTCCCTTCCTCTCCGAAATCAATAAAAATATATTTTTAAAAGATTGCAAATAAATTTTAAAACCTCACCAGAGTTTTGTTTAGTTGCTAAATCTGCAGTTGCCTCCTCAATGACCATTTCAAATGACTCTGTACTTCCATTTACATCTGAGCCAGAAGCCAAATCAGGTTCACCTTGTAATTTAAGGACAAACACAAATATTAAGAATCTAGTAGTTGGCATAAGTTGTCAATAAATCAGTTCTAACATAAAAGTGGATTCAGGCAACAGAGATGGCAATGGAAAACAATAATCCTTAACCTTAAAACAGTAGGTCTCAACTGGGGGATAATCTTGTCCCCTAAGGGACACTCGGCAATGTCTGGAGACAGGTTTTGTTGTCATGAATGAGAGCAGGGATGCCACTGATATTTAAGGATACTAAACATGCTACAATACAGAGAGCAGCCCCACAACAAAGCTCAGAATGTAAATAGGTTGTAAAAACAAGGATTCAAATGGCAGAAGAGAAGATTAGACTGTCAGCTCACTACTAAAGTCATTTCTACCCCATGGAAATACGCAGTCTAATTACATCGTTTCTCTTCAAAATTCTTTTTGACTTTCAGCACAGAAGATGCTCCTACAGCTCACCTACTTCTCTACTCTCACCTACTTCTCTACTCTCCCCTATTTCTGCCCAATAGATCCTTTCTTTCGGCTGCTACAAGCTACTCTATTCCCTGATTCCCTCTGCCTGAAAGGCTGCTACCTTCCACATAAACAACAATCATCTTTTGTGTAGGTAACTCCTCATTATTCAAAATTCAGTCCAAACTTTCCATTCCACTAGAGGCCTTCTCTGATAGCTCAGCCATCCTACTGTAAGCTAAAGCAGAGCCCTATCCCAGTGTCCTAACACAGCACAGCAGCCTGATTCACTTGCTTGTCTCCCTCTCTAGGGTATAATTCCTCAGGTCTTACAAATTTAAATATCTCCAGCATCTAAGCAGGCAGTCTGTAAATGTCTGTGGAATGAATGAAATAAAACATGGCAGCTATAGCAGACATGCCTTGAAATGACTGCTTAACTCCATAGCCTTCTTCTCTGGAAAATGCCCCTGTGATACTTGGCAGTCAACTGTTGAAAACTGCCTATTACTCAGCCATAATATATATAAAAAACCTACTATGTCAAAAATCAAAAGTTACCCAAATCCTCTGGCCAAAGGTAAATGGACCACAAATGGATACCTAACTCAGAGAGCTGACCCAATCCACTGGGTGGCTAGCAATAATTATTTTCTCACAATTTCAAAGTAAGAGGCTCAAGGAATAGTCAATTGAAGACACACAATTGAACTGAAATGTTTCCTAGAGTCATAGACCAGAGCTGGCACCATGGCAACCACAGCCAAATTACAAGCCAGAACTGGGTCAGAACAGAAACAATTAGTAAGCATGAAAAGGTAATTGGAAAATAAAATTTTAAATTAAAAACAAAGAAAAAGAGGCCCTAGTTGGTTTGGCTCAGTGGATACAGCGTAAGCCTGCAGACGGAAAAGTCCGGGTTCAATTCTGATCAAGGACATGTATCTCGGTTGCAGGGTCCTCCTTGGACCAGGTCCAGGTAGGTGCTCATGCAGAAGGCAACCTATCGATGTATTCTCTCACATCAATATTTCTCTCTGTTTTTCTTTCTCTCTTCTACTCTCTCTAAAAATCAGAGGAAAAGTATCCTTGGGTGAGGATTAAAAAAAGAAAAAGAAAGAAAAAGATATCTAAGGAAAACTAGCCATAATCAATATGCAGAATAGATGAGATATAAAGAAAGAGAATGAGGCCAGGAAAGCGAGCAGAAAATGATTGCTTCAAGGACCAGGACTCAGACTGAATGGCAGTTACAGATAATAAAAAAAGAGAGAAGGGGAGAAATGGATATGAGATATTTTTCCAACGATTAATTCACAGAACTTGGAAACAACTGGACAGTGTAGAAAAGGAATACGGTGACAGAGATAGGACTCTGGCCCGGGTAACTGAGACAACGGTGCCTCCACAGAAAGAGAAAGGTCAAAAGGAAAGAACTGGAGACAGCTTTACTGAGAGACTAAAACTTTGAAACCATCATCACATAAAGGAAGTTAAGTTAAAGTCTATAAACATAGATATGACAGTAAAGGACTAAAACCTGATAACCTTTCTGTATTCCAACCCCACCCAGGTCATCACTTCTGTAGGGATGCACTTAATGTTCTCTCCATTTTGAACAACTGAACTTGTCCAAATGATGTCACAGAATATTTTCTTATACTTCAGTGAAAAAGCATTAAGTGTTAAATAATTCAACATCCCCACAAAGGTCTCAGTGCTTTTATATAATTAGGTTGTGATTAACTCAATACCAGTGATCTTAATTCAAAACCCAACTATTAGCTAACCTCTCTCATCAGAAGCATCACTGAGTTTTCTGCTTGCAAGTTGGCTCGAAGCATTCAACATGGTGATATAGCCACAAAAATGCTGCAAGTCCACCTTTGTTCTTAATATTTCCAATGCTTTATGAACACCCATATTGACACGAGTAAACTCTAAGAACAAAGAGTTAACATCAAATGATAAGTGAATAGTTTTGTAAAATAATACAACATGAAACACTTAAAAATATTTTTATTAAACAATTCTTAAAATTACATTTATACTTTAATCTATCAAGATTGATTCCAATGAAGAAATATCTGTAATAAAAGGATGGTATACATATATAATGTTTATAGCCTTCAGAAGGTATTTGTTAGATCAGAAGCAAATAGTCCGTGGTAAATTCTCTAAGTATCTATTTGTACTTCTATTCTCCCTCAAATGCTTATTTGGTGGGCTTCTACCAGGAAATTTATTAAATTCACATATTTTTAAAATTAAAACTAATATACTTGAAATTATGTTCTAATGAATTATTTAAGTTTTAACTCAAGTTCTTACCCATGAACTTACAAAAGAGAAAGATGCTCTATATCCAAATATGGAGATTTCTCTTTTTTGTAATTCACAATAATATCCCAAGGCAAGAGAACTATCAATTAGTTCTTGAGATTTTCTACATTTTATTGTCCTATGGTCTCTACCCTGTATCCTCAGGTGAACATTTTCCCCCACAGGATTTATAAAGTATCAGAGGAGTAAGTAGCAAAGTTTAGTTGCAGACAAGTACTTATTTCTGAAAAAATGGCTATTTTGGAGAAGAGAGAACTCTCTTCTCCACATTTTGTACACACTCACAACAGCCAAAAGACAGCACTTAATTTCAGATGTGAGGCTCCCCAGTCTGGCTGTGAGAAAAGACGACAATATCTATAAAAAATCCTATGCCTTTCCTTGCTTTAGTGGGTGGGGGCAGTGGTAAGCAACATTTTGAAAAAACAGTAAATACGGGGTAACTTAGGTTAAATTACTTGAACCATTCACTGCTCTCTTGAATTCAAAGCAATGAGACTCTAAAAACCAGAAAAATAGGTACAGAACAGCAGTTTTACATGGAGCAGGAAACATAAGTGCTATGTAAATATATGCAAAGTTTTAATCAGATAGTATTTTTCTTCATAATGTATATATTTTCTTAATATTCAACAGAGAAAAAGTGTCTTCTCTATTAGACAAAAGGAAGAATGAACTGGCTGTTACAGAACTTCTCTGCATCTTTATCAAGTACAAGATTGTACAGCCAAATCCAGGAGCCAACATTAACCAGGACTTTCCCCTTGGTGCTAACTAGCTAATTTAGCTCAAACTGCAATCCACTCAAATCCTCTCGTCAGCAAAAATAAAACTTAACAGCAAAAAAAAATACATGCAAGTGCTCTGTAAACTGTGAAGTAGGAGACAAATGTTTATTAGGACCCATTTCTACAATAATTTAAAAAGCCCCTAAAAGAAAACCAGTGTGTAGCATGGAGGGGTGACCAACTTTCTAAACATCTTTCAAAGCATAAATCTTCCCTATTACTTGCTTCAAATAATAAGCAATAAAAAGAAAATGAAAGACTAAACATATGGAAAACCTAGTCTTCCCCGTGGGCAGATACCTATGTATTTTCTTCATCTCCAAGACACTCGTATTCCTCCATAGGCCCTACGTGAGTCTTACACTATCGGTTTTTTGTGGAAAAAGGCATATGACAGAAAACTACCTTTGGCCAATATTCTTTAAAAACAAAATGGTAACAGTCTAGAACTTCAGAAATTTAAGCACTCATTTCCTGCTATGTTTTCCACCAAACCGGTGACAAAGATTAATGATAAAGAAATCAAATAGATATAAATCAGAAGTGAGGTACCTCCTTGTAGTTCTGTCTCATCAAATGGAAATGGTATGTGGACAGTTTCTCCTGTCCCGTGGAAGCCATGTCCCTAAAGGTGAAGAAACAAAAGTTGAAAGGTGTATGAGAAAACAACATTTCCAACAATTGATATTAAAGCACTAAATGAGACTGTGCCACGTGGTGGTATGTTCCATTAAAGTGCTTTAAACAGTTTTCTATTTTTCTCCAGCAAACAAAGACAATCTTAAATATATATGAATCTATAAGGTAATGTGTCTCAAATAGAGTGCATGGGCTAAATTTTAAAAAGGAAGGTAATTTAACAGGCAACTCAGACATCAGCCAAGTGGAGACTGAATGAGATCAAGTGTTGGTCCCTAAAGACCACATATTATATATGAAATGCCAGGAATAGGGTCTAGAGAGAAGAAATAGATTAGTATTGTTTAGGATGTGGGGGCTGGGAGAAAAAGGGAGTGAGAACTAAAGGTGCAGATTTTTTGAGATGATGAAAATGTCCTAAACCTGAATATGGTGGCCTTGGCTAGTGCGGCTTAGTGGGTTGAGTGTTGTCCCATGAATAGAGAGGTCGCCCATTCGATTCATGGTCAGGGCACATGCCAGGGTTTTGGGCCTGATCCACAATAGGGGTTGGGAAGGGGCAGCTGATCAATGTTTCTCTCTCCCTCTCCCTTCCTCTCTAAAAATCAATAAAAATTATTAATTAAAAAATGGTGATGGCTGCAGGTATGTGTAATGACAGTAGTCCGCCTTATCCATGGGGATACATTCCAAGACCACTAGTGGATACCTGAAACCAAGGATGGTACTGAACTCTACATATATTATATTTTTTTCCTATTTATACATACATACCTACGATAAGTTTAGTTTATAAATTAGGTCCAGTAAGAGACTAACAATAATAACTAGTAATAAAATAGATTACAATAATATATTATAACAAAACTTATGTGAATGTTCTCTCTCTCCCTCTCGTTAATAATCAAGTCAGCTACTAAGTGGCTATAGCAGGGAGCATACACGGTGTGGATATGCTGGACAACAGGATGATGCACTCCCCACGAGGAATGGAGCAGGACAACTCCAGACTTCATCACACTACCCCAAATGACATGTAATTTAAATCTATGAATTACTTATTTCTGGAATTTTCCAATGAATATTTTCAGACCATGGTAGACCCTAGGTAACTGAAACCATAGGAAGTGGTACCACGCAAAAGAAGAACTAATATATACTGAAAAAAACCCCACAATGAACTGTACAATATAAATGGCTGAATTGTGTGCTCTATGAGTTCTCTTAATAAAGCTATTTCTAAAAGAAAAAATACAGCCACAAGGGTAACAAAAGGTGAGGTTAGAATTCAAAGTTGAGTCTAACTTCAAAGTCCATGTTGCACTGCCAGCCAAAGAACAGACTGAAACTCAGATCTAATTCTTTATGTTTCAGCTTCACAAATTTCAAATTACTGACATCCGATTGCAATTCAGCAGATAGACAAATTATAATTTTTAAAAGAAAAAAACAAAATGGATTGATTCAAATAAAGTAACTGTACCTGAATCAAAACCGCCGAATGTGTTAAAGCATCATTCAACATTGTGAGCACATTTGATGTAGGAACTACCCCAGGATCATGACCCCAAGATGTTATTAGTAATCGATCATAACCCTATGGAAAAGAAATGAGTAAGATAAAATGGCACTTAGAAATATGGACAAAAAATTAAGAAAGTTATCTATAATGCCACTTACTAATTTCTAATATATAACTATTCTAATATATAACTATATAATAGAAATATTAAGACGTTATTAATATCTTCACCCAAAATAATTAAAACAAACAAATCTCACACAACATACCTGGAAAATATCTGGCAGTTTTCGAAGTCTTGTACCTTTGGATAGCAAAAGAGATGGTGGTCCCTGCCCAGTCACATGGTAAATGTACAGTTTAAACCAGACAGAACTGACTTCTGGAATAGCTGGTCCAATATGCTGTAACAATAAAGCAGGTAAGGTAAAGATGAAATACTTAGCTTAAAAAAGCCAAATTCCCAACTAACAAAGCATAGTCATATTAAAAGCTAATTCCTCATATAAGTGTTCATTACTATTATCCTTATGAAAATCACTTTTAAATACTCTGTCCAAATAGTTTCACTTTTGTGCTGGAACTGAGAAAGTACATCTTATCACTGCAGTTAGAGGATGGACTTTCAAGGACCACCAAGGTCTGAATCTGGGCTTCATCCCCTCAGCCATATCACCCTCTAACATTACTTAATGCTCTCTATTCTCCTTTTGCTCTTTTATAAGGTAGCAATAAAACATCTACCTTATAGGGACATTGTAGTGTTGTTTAAAAAGTTTAAAATAGCACCTGGTATGTAGTAAGCTTTATATAAAAATGTTTTGTCATTATTAATCAATCCCATGCAATTTCTCTCAAAAGGGACTGTCCTCCCACTCATTTACAGTTCATGAACTATTATGTCTAGAGGATGCATTAAAGAATAGGAGGGAGTGTGGAGTGGAGTGGTACTGGAGGTAGCAAGTGAAGAATTATAAAAAAAAAAGTTGGTGAATGCAAACCTATAACCACTCCAGTTGAATAGAGGACAAATGAGAGGGGAGGGTGCGCTCTGGGGCAGCTAGAATCACCCCTATAAAAAAATCCCTTCCTGTCTTCACCATTAAACCCTGCACGGCTAGGAAACCAGGCAGGATGTAACACTGAAAAAGAGTAACACAATCCCCACTCTTTGAAAATGCTACAGACCCAATGCCCTTGCCAAGTATACAAATCCACAGAACTGATTTATTTTTTAAAAGTAAAAGCTGGAAGTCACAAGTAAATTTTAAAGATAACCAAAATTCTACTTCCTTTCCAGTACAATTGTTTCTTTTCCATTTATTCAGTATCATAGCTCCATTTCTAAAGCATTCCATTTTTCCTATATAAATTTATCTTATTCCTCAAGGCAATCCAGACTCCCCTCTCAGAGCATCCAAAAATATTCTCTTCAGAAGACTGCATTCAAGAAGAAAACTTTAATCTGTTGTCTCAAGTCACCAGATGATAAATAAATAAAATGTACCCATTATACTTCACAAATTGAACATAACATCTTACAACAGCATAAAATACAAAACTGCTTTCTGAGTCAGCAATTTGAATCAGTATCTGCAAATTGAGACTTAACCAGAAAGTCTGTTAAACCTCTTCTTCAAGTCACCGCAAGGACGAATGAAGTGACAGCACCGGCCTTCTGCCAAGTGGGTCTTTACCTGAGGGGTGCAGCTGCTGATGGGCCGAATCTCATTGGTGAGAGGAGCCATGGAAACAAGCAGTGTGTAATTTTTGTTTAGAACTCTGCTGCAAGTTGCAGGGTCCAAACCAAGAAGGCTTTCACAGCGTAAGAGATCCAGAGGAAAACCTGAATTATGACCAAGCACACAAAGAGAATGAAAGACTGACAATATGAAACAAAAATGCCCAAGACAGAATACTGATTACCTATCTTCTAGGCACATATTTCTAAGTGCGGAACTCCTATTCCTAAACTAAATTCAGAACTTGGCTGAGACGCTCTCTGTAGAGACTGGGAGTTGGGAGAGGGAAGGACACAGCTTTCCAGTGGCACTCAGGCTTTCACGGTGCCATTGAACCGGGATGGCTGGGATGGAGAGGAAGAATGGCAAAGCAAGCACCTTTTAAAAAGGGAAAGGTAGCCTAAGGGAATACCAGTAGACAGTTATCTTTGGATCAGGAATAAAGACTATTAGCTTTAAATCTTAAAAATATCTTCTTAGTGGTCCCTTAGGACATTTGGAATTTTTAATATTCTATCTTTAAAAAAAAAAAAAAAAAAAAAAAGGACTATTTTCTCAAAAAATAGGCAATGTTATATAAGACAAAAAAAAAAAAAAAAAAAAAAAAAGGTGCCGGGACCGGTTTGGCTCAATGGATAGAGCCGTCGGCTTGGGGACTGAAGGGTCCCGGGTTCGATTCCAGTCAAGGGCATGTACCTTGGTTGCGGGCATATCCCCAGTGGGGGGTGTGCAAGAGGCAGCTGATCGATGATTCTCTCTCATCGATGTTTCTAACTTTCTATCTCTCTCCCTTCCTCTCTGTATAAAATCAATAAAATATATTTAAAAAAAAAAAAAAAAGGTTATGGATTTGAAAGAATGAGTGAAATTAAATGTTCAAGTGGTGCTAAGAATTCTCAAAATCCCATGATGCAACTCTTGTAAATGTCCAAGGACTTGAGCCAAAAGCTCTTACATTGGTGCTCAAGCCATTCCACCTTTTAAAAACACACATTCCTGGGTGCCCTTCCACAACACAGAACCCACTGAATCAGAATCTGAAATTTTGGTACCATCAGTTCAACTCTGGTTGGGTGCACTCCCCAGCTATCACAAAACTGAGAGTGTACCCTAAGGCAACAGCCTCAGGAATTCACCAATTGATAAAAATTGCCACTACTTTTACTCTTTAAAAAGAGGCTATCTGTTCCTGGTCTATTTCTTAAAGTAAAGTACCTTAGTAAATAAACATTCCAGTAGCATTTGAATAAGGAACTCCTATTTACTGTTTTTAATGCAATGGAATCTTTCATTCTTGAAATTTTATGCTTCCTAATACATTTACCGCAATTTTGCATCAGAACCAATGAGGGGTGAATAGATGCCTATTCCAAATTCCACCCAGCTACTTAAACAATAGACACTCCCAACACTGTAGGTACTCATCAGATTTAAATACTACAAATGTCAGTGGCACGTAACAGAGAAGAAATAGTAAAATAAGAAACAGTTGACAAGAAAAGAAATTCACATGACAAGCCTTTAGTTATAAGTTCAATATACTTATAAAAATCAATTAAGTAAATGATGATTAAATAAGTGGGCATGACCTATTTAATTTCTTAGAAAGAACTTCCATAGAATCATGTCTTCAAAATCAAGTATATAACTCATACCATAACTGGGCTGGTCTGGCTGTGCAGTTTGTGCAACTAGATCTTTATTGTGACGAAGAAATAGTATCGTGTTTCTCAGAGTAAGTGCATGGTCAAAATATCTCTGTGCTTCCCCTTCACCAGTGCTCTGAACCTAAACCAAGAGAAAATAAAATTTAGAACAAATATCATTCTTATGCCATTCATTCTAACATACCCTATATAATAAAAGGCTAATATATCAATTGACTAAACAGCAGAATGACAGGTCGCTATGACACACACTGACCACCAAGGGGCAGATGCTCAATGCAGGAGCTGCCCCCGGATGGTCAGTGTGCTCCCAGAGAGGGAACACTGCTTAGCCAGAAGCCCCTCCTGCCTCTGTGGCAGTCAGACATCCCAAAAGGGATCCCAGACTGAGAGAGGGCGCAGGTCGGGCTGAGAAACCCCACTCCCCCTCACGTGCATGAATTTTGTACACTGGGCCTCTAGTAACTATATAAGAGAGATATTAAGACATTACTAAAAATTATTAAATAAAAAATTTTCCCAGACACCATTGAAACAAATATTAACCTCAATCTCTACTAATTTTCCATTTCACTACATCTTTCAAGAGAACAGAATTACCTCAACAAGTAAAACTAACAATTTTAGCAAGCTAATAATGCTAAATTATAGCATTATATAAATTGTATGTCTCATGTATGATTCAAATAAGTACTTAAAAACCTCTAAGATATACATTTGGTTTCATTCAGTAAAGTACTCCATTCCAGTCCATAGTTAACAATTAAGCCTCTAATTCTCATCACCCTCTTCACAATTTTGCATCACTCATTACAAGGGACAATAGGTATGTAGTTCAACGTTATTGTTCACCATTGCTAAAAATACAACTTAAATTCATTCAACAAGGATTTACTGAGTCCCTCTAATGTGCTATGTGCTATGACCTGTCTACAAAATGAGAACAGAGTGCTGAGAACAAAGCCCTTGTCTTGACTAGGCTTACATTTCAATGCATGTCCATCTAAAATTCTCTAAACATCCGATTAAATACACAGCATTCATGATTAAAGTACAAAAGGTACCATAATTACTAGTCAGGAAACAGATTAGGTACACAAACTTTTTGCATTAAGAACAGTAGACAGAATAAAATATCCAGGTCATGGAAACAGAAAGGCAATCAAGATTCAGAGCTCAGTGAAACCAGTGCTGTCCTCATAGAAAAAAAGGTGGTTAAGAGCAAATACAGGGTGGGCTAAAGTAGGTTTCCACTTGTGAGTACATGAAGCACAGAGTTTATTCTTTTTGTAATAAATCTTTATTGTTCAGATTATTACAGTTGTTCCTTTTCCCCCCCCATAACTCCCCTCCACCCAGTTCCCACCCCACTCTCTGCCCTTACCCCCCCTGCATTGTCCTCATCCATAAGTGTACAATTTTTGTCCAGTCTCTTCCCGCACCCCCCACACATCCTTCCCCCCAAGAATTGTCAGTCCACTCCCTTTCTATGTCCCTGATTCTATTATATTCTCCAGTTTATTCTGTTCATCAGATTTTTTATCCACTCGACTTTTAATTCACTTGTTGATAGATATGTATTTGTTGTCACTTTGTTGTTCATAATTCTTTTTCTTCTGCTTCCTCTTCTTAAAGAATACCTTATGTAAAAATTATATATTTTATATAATACTGGTTTGGTGGTGATAAAATCCTTTAGCTTTTTTATTACCTATTAAGCTCTTTATCTGACCTTCAATTCTAACTGATAGCTTTGCTGGGCAATCTTGGTTCTTGCTATTCATCACTTTGAATATTTCTTGCCACTTCCTTCTGGCCTGCATAGTTTCTGTTGAGAAATCAGCTGATGATCATATGGGTACTCCCTTGTAGATAACTTTTTTCTTGCTGCTTTTAATATTCTCTGTCTTTTGCCCTTGGCATTTTAATTATAATGTGTCTTTGGTGTGGTCCTCTTTGGATTCCTTTTGTTTGGGGTTCTCTGCACTTCCTGGACTTGTAAGTCTATTTCTTTCACCAGGTAGGGGAAGTTTTTAGTCATTTTTTCAAATAGGACTCAATATCTTGCTCTCTTTTCTGGCACCCCCATAATTCGGATGTTGGTATGCTTGAAGTTGTCCCAAAGGATCCTGACACTATCTTCATATTTTTTAAATTCTTTTTTTCTTTTTGCTTTTCCAGTTGGGTGTTCTTTGCTTCTTCATATTTCAAATATTTTACTTGATTCTTGAAGTCCTCTAGTCTGCTGTTGGATCTCTGTATATTATTTTTTTAATATATTTTATTGATTTTTTTCAGAGAGGAAGGGAAAGAGATAGAGCTAGAAACACTAATGAGAGAGAAACATCGACCAGCTGCCTCCTATACACCCACTACTGGGGATGTGCCCACAACCTGTGTACATGCCCTTGACCGGAATCAAACCTGGGACTTTTCAGTCTGCAGGCCAACGCTCTATCCACTGAGCCAAACTGGTTTCGGCTATATATTATTCTTTATTTCAGTCAGTGTATGCTTAATTTCTAACTGGTTTTTTTCATATCCTTGAGGGACTCACTATATTTCTCAGAGATTTCTAGAAGATTCTTGAGTAAACTCATAACCGTGGTTTTGAACTCTAAATCCAGTAGTTTGCTTTTCTCCATTGCTCTCATTTGTGACTTGTTTGTCTCTGCATTGTGGTGGCTTCCCTGTGTTGATAAGAGTGGCTTTGTGTGCTAGGTGTCCTATAGGGCCCAGTGACTCAGCCTCCCTAATTACCTGAGGTGGACACTCTTGGTGTACCTCTTTGTGGGCTATGTGCAAAATCTTGTAGGTAAGCCTTGATTGCTGTTGGTATCACTGGGAAGAATTGACCTCCAGGACAATTGGCTGTGAGGTTCAGTTGTGTCTACGATGGAAGAACTTCTGTGCTCAGACACCCTTATGGGGTAAGACTAGCTTCCATGGGGCTTTGGCGCTCACTGAGTCTGCCCCCTGAGTGTGTCTCTTATGGATGTGAAGAGTTGTAATCTAGATGGTCTCACTCTGACCACTGGGTACAATGGCTTTTGGATCTCCAAGGAGGTGCAAAGTCAGCCACTGCCTGAGGCCACCCAGCAAGAGCTACAGAAAGATCTGCAGATTTTTCCTCTTTATTTGGGGTTTGGAGGTGCCCAGATGAGAACTAGCTGTGAAGCAATGCAAGCTGCTGTCCATGTTTAGGCCTTTCTTTGGAGGCTCTGGGATTCTGTGACCCAGCTGCAGTGTGTTAGGTTTTAGATTGCAAAAGGCCAGGCCAGCCGAAATCGGTTTGGCTCAGTGGTAGAGCATCGATCTGTGGACTGAAGGGTCCCTGGTTTGATTCTGGTCAGGGGTATGTACGTTGGTTGCGGGCACATCCCCAGTGGGGGGTATGCAAGAGGCAGCTGGTCGATGTTTCTCTCTCATTGACGTTTCTAGCGCTCTATCTCTCTCCCTTCCTCTCTGTAAAAAATCAATAAAATATATTAAAAAAAAAAAAAAAAAAAGGCCAGGCCATTTATATGCAAAAGCCTCTGTGCACAGGTTGGGTGGGGTTGTAAATTGGGTGGGGTGAGGTGGGGTCTCGAAATCACCGGGTGGAGCAAACAGCAATGCTGCCTGTCAGCCCTGCCCAAAAGAGGTCCCCTGGTCTCTGTGTCCCTCGGCACCGTGCAGGAACGATGATCGCTGCAACACCTCTGAGAGAAAGCCGATGTCAGACAGTCCAGTTTCTCCCCGTATGAGTCTGGGTCCCCAGAGTCTCACCTGGAACTGGAATTCAGAGCAGTCGGGAGCTTGTATCTCCCTCCCGATTGAAAAAGACAACAGCGTATCCAGTTGGCAGCCCCTTTCCGCGAGTGCCTCCATACCTCCACACTTCACCTCCATATCTCCTCCCAGTCTCAGTGTGCTTTTCTCTTTCCTTCTAGTTGTATAAATTCCACTCAGCCAGCCTTCCCATGGTTCTGGATGAGGTCCGTTTTGTCTTTTAGTTGTAGTTTTGAAGTGGTTGGGCGAGGCAGATTATTTTTGTAAGTACTCAGATATTTACCTATGCCGCCATCTTGGTTCCTCCTCCAGAGTTATCTTTTATTCTTATTTATTAATTACTAGAAGCCCAGTGCACAAAATTCATGCCCTGGGGGGGGGGGGGGTCATCGTCCCTTAGCCTTGCCTGTGCCCTCTCACTGTCTGGGAGCCCTTAGGGAATGTCTGACTACTGTGAAGGTGGGAGAGGCTACCGCCACCGCCACTACACTCACCAGGCATGAGCCCGGCTTCTGGCTGAGCGGTGCTCCCCCTGTGAAAGCACACTGACCACCGGGGGGCAGCTCCTACATTGAGCATCTGCCCCCCGGTGGTCAGTGTAAATCATAGCAACTGGTCATTCCACCATCGGGCCAAAACTGGCTCTCCGACAACCCCCAAAGGGTCCCAGATTGCAAGTGGGCGCAGGCCAGATCAAGGGACCCCACCAGTGCACGATCGGGTCCATGGAGAGACGTAGGAGGTTGGCCAGCTGGGGAGGGGTCACAGAGGGCTCCAGGGTGTGTCCAGCCTGACTCACTCAGTCCTGATTGGCCAGACCCCAGCAGCAAGCTAACCTATCAGCCAGAGCATCTTCCCCCTGGTGGTCAGTGCACTTCATAGCAACTGGTCGACCAGTCTATTGTCCGCCCCCTGGTGATCAGTGCACATCATAGCAAGCGGTTAAGTGGCCTTAGCATACCATTAGCATATTACTTTGATTGTTTGGATAGATGAATGGATGACTGCACACGTAGCGTATAAGGCTTTTATTATATAGGATTGTATTATATGCCACACAAACAACTGTAAACCTACTTTTGCCCCACCCTGTATGACATGATATCCAGAAACATTGTTCCAAATTTAAGATAGGTTAGAAAAAAACTTCAAATGAAACTGTTTAAGATATTTTAGAGAGTCCCACATACATGCATAAAGGCTATTTTAGAAAAATGCAATTTAAAAAACTACACTAGACTAAGATTTCTATACCCTATTTCTTCTTTATATCAAATTATGCTATTAAATAAGATAGACAAATCATTTTTAAAATCACAAAACTTATTCATCTACTCAATTATGTTTAAATCCAGTGACTACCACAGTGTTCAGATGGGAAATGAGGTAGGAACAAGAATATACCCAAAATCTACATAGATCAATAACAAGCAAAAGTATGTTCCAAATGCCTTGAGGGCCCATAGTCAGCAATCTAGACTTACCTTTTCCAGTTCTACAAGAAAGCTATCCAGAGATTCATCTGAGAGTTTCCCAACTTCAAACATGGTGACTGCATGGCTTTTTAAGTTCTGCAATAAAGCAAAAACAAAAACACTAAAATATATTTCAGTGCCTTATACAAGTCACTCAAGTTCTAGTTTTCCCATTTTATGCTGCGCGTAGCATCTTATATTTATACTAGAGGCCTGATGCATGAAATTCATGTAAGAGTAAGCCTTCCTTCCGCCCACTGCTGGCACCCACTGGCAGGTACCTGGGACCTGGGCTTCCCTCACATCCCAGGCTTCGTCCAGAAGGTCGTTTGGTCTAATTAGCATATTACATTTTTATTATTATATAAGATAATGCTTTCCAATATATTTAAACTTAAGGGTGAGTGAGGTGAGAGTCTGATTCTTCTAATTACAAAAGTAACAATCACTAAAAAGTTACTATACCCTAAGAAATATAAAACAAAGGCAGTTATGTTTTCAAGAATAAATCTAGTACTTATAAAACAGATAGAGCATTGAATTATTTTATATCTAATCTTTACTTGAAACATTTTTATATTTGAACAAGAATTTGACTTACTGGTGAAAGATTTCCCATCATTAAAAAGGCAGTGAGAGTTGAGTCAAACAGAAATGCAATACGCTTTGTATATCCTGTAGATAAACTTAAACTGCTTATACTGGCTGTGTCGGCTGGGGGAAAAAAAATCATAATTTAAGATTAAGTAAATGAAAAGTATACTTTGCTTATCATTTGGAATGAGAATGTGTTTAGCTGAAACCAGTTTGGCTCAGTGGTAGAGCGTCGGTCTGTGGACTGGAAGGTCCCAGGTTCGATTCCGGTCAAGGTCATGTATCTGGGTTGTGGGCACATCCCCAGTAGGGGGAGTGCAAGAGGCAGCTGGTCGATGTTTCTCTCTCATCGACGTTTCTAGCTCTCTATCTCCCTCCCTTCCTCTCTGTGAAAAATCAATAAAATATATTAAAAAAAAAAAAGAGAGAGAATGTATTTAATTTTACCTTTATTTAATAATCAGAAAGTACATAATTAAGTATAAGCAATATTGTCAACCTAAGAGGTCCCAGTACTATCACCAACATAAACAACCAAAAAATAAAACAAAAACCCCCCACATATTTTAAAGGCACTCACTTTTGAGGTCAAATTTTTTAAAAGCAATAATGAACCAAGACTTGGTAACTGCCAGATGAATAAGACCAACGCCTAACCTCTTCAGACAAATCACTTGGGGGAGAATTGGGAGCCCATGCTGTGCTCCCCTCCCACCGGACATAAAACCAGGCGCGGCCTCCTCACCATCCCCTATGCTTTGCCTCCCTTTGTGGAAGCCAGTGTGACGGCCTTCCCTCACTCACCAGCTAGCTGGCTCTTATTCATCCTTAGTCCAAGTATCACCTTCTCCCCGAGGCTTCCAGAGCCTCTCTAGGCAGCAAGAGGCCTCTTCTTGCTCCCACAGCACTGCAACACTTCTCACATTGTGATTTCTGTGGCTGCGCTGCCTTCTCTTTCCCTAGACTTAATTCTTAGAAGGAAGGTACTATATTTTTGTCAATTTTATACCCTTAAGACCTACATCAGTGCCCAACATATTGGTAAGTACTCAAAGATTGCATCTTGAATGAGTGAAATCTAGAGCAAAACTTGTAAGTGTAGAGAGTCCACTCTGGGGGTGAATGTGCTGACACAGCCGTATCTGTAGAGAGATTCCAAATTAAACTGAGGGACTGCTGACCTGGATCCTCCTGACTGTTTGTATCGGTGTCAGTAGCCGAAGACACTTCCTGTACGGGACTCCTGCTTTCCCCGCCATCCCAGGATAAGAGCATCCTCTGTGGATCTAAAGTAGTCCTATTGATGAAGAAATCATTCAATTTTTAAAAATCAAAGGATTGTATAAAAGTAGCTAATGAAGTCAGTACTAAAATTATAAACACCCATCTAAATCCAGACATTTTCAGGCCTAGAATTGAGACGTAGCCCCAAAATTCTGTGCCTCATAGAACAAGGGTTCTGAACCAAGATACACAGACAGGCTTCAGGGAATTCGAGAAGCCATTAAAATTATATGTGATATATTGTATATGCTTTTTTCTGGGGAGATTCTTAATTTTTTTCAGATTCTAAAAACTATTCATCACACATACACACACACACACAAAGATTTTTTAAAAAGACCACCTAACATACAGGGTTCACCTCAAATGACAGAATAAGTAAAATTTTAGTATGTAAAATTATGTTTTCTCCAAAAGAAAATTCTAATATCTCATACTAAATAAATGAATTACTTTAATCTGTTTATAGACGGAACATTTCTCCACGATGAATGAAGTTGATCCAAATTTATTACTTGTCCCTTCTTATGGGCAAAGCCCAATCGGCAATACATTGAAACAGCATTCTGAAAGAAATAAATAGGAAATGAGCATTTAAAATAAGCCAGACATCAGGATCTTTATAGACAAAATAGTACTACAGACTATACCTATAGTGATCTTCAAGCATTTCACCCCATAAGTAGAAAAAACAATTTTCAATAGGCCTGTTTGTCCCCTTAACTTCACATGTGTCTGAGAAGGAAGGCATCCAATTTTCTGGCCTGGCCCTCCCTAGATCTATCCCCAGTATCAGAGATGTTGCTTTAATTATCTCATCACAAGACACCAATTAGCCTGCTTCCTGCTCAGCACAGTGTGGATGCGCCATCCCTTTCACTCCATGGGGGCCCGTATCTCGCTCTTTTCTATCTTGTGAGCCGGTAGTCCAACAGCTAAAAAGAATCTCACTGCCTGTTTCTTGGTAGCATATCAAGACAAAAATCTATCTATCTATATAAAAGACCAAGTGACCATCACAACTGAATGACCAGTCGCTATGATGTGCACTGACCACTAGAGGGCAGACACTCAATGCAGGAGCTGCTGCGGGATGGTCAGTGCACTCCCACAGCAAACTCCCATGGCCTTTCCCCTCAATCGCCGGCCAGGCTGAGGGACCCTTCCCATGCATGAATTCATGCACTGGGCCTCTAGCATTTGATAACAGCCATTTAGTAATTACACTGTAAGTAAAAAGAATATAAAAGTTACATACCTTCACCAGGGATAAGTCTATCTCAAGGACATTTGCAAGCTGGAAAATAAAATAAAAAACTGTTTTACATTGTTAGAATTATCAGCATATTACATGGTTGCAGTAGACACTAACTATAATCATCAACATTTTAAATTATGAACAGCTGGAACATTGAATAAATTTTGAAATCAGGACTTTCTTCTTTCCATATCTCTAAAATGTTTAAAGTAGTATGAATTCAGGTAATAACCTTAACAATTTAAGATACCTTCCTCTTTAATTTTATCTCATTTAAAATAAGAAAGACCTAAGAGCGAGCATAGTCTACAATCCTTTTAGTATATAGTTATGCGATACTTAAAGACAGGTACATTCTGAGAAATTCAACATTAGACACTTTCGTCTTGTGCGAACATCACAGAATGTACTTACAGCAACACAGAGGATACAGCCTCCTACTGTAATTGTGTGTGCTGTACCTTTACATCGCTGGCAGTACAAGTGGTTTGTTCACAGCAGCATCACCACAAACATGTGAGTAATTGAGTAATTGTAGTTTAAGCCCTACAGTTGGCTTTTCTTTTTGTAATTAAGTGCCTGGTTTAAGCTTTGATTGCAGGGGCTTACATTCCAAGGAAGTCTAACTGGAATAAACACATTGCCAGGCATTGGGCTGGATAAAGAGCGGCACCACCTCCTACCAGCCCATCCTTCCAGACTCCTGTATTTTAGATCTTAATTTCTTGACCATTTGGACTATTTGTTTTTTTCTGCCCACCCTCCCCAACCATCCCACCAACCAGCAGGTCCTTGTATATTCCAGTGATTAAAAGTAAGAAACTTGTTTCTTCAAAGTTTTCTATTGGATATTGCTGAAGAGCATTTTGCAAAATTGTAATAAGAACCACAAGGGTAGGCCCAGCAGTAACACTGGTTTAGAAAGGGGAAAGTCTGTGGAAAGTGCACAGGACTAGCTGACAGCATTACTATCCATAGATGGATACCAGCACAAAACAGTTCATTGTGCTATATGTGACTTTAGGAAGGCTGCCACATCACTAGGCAATAGAAAATTTCTCAGCTCCATTATAATCTTATGTGGCCACAGTCAAATACGTGGTCCCTCTCTCATGTTGTCTCTCATTTTGGAACAAGACTGTAAAGTCATATAAAAAGTTATTTACCAAGTTTTATATATGCAGAAGTAACTTAAGAATAGTGACTTAAGCATATTAACAGTCCATGATCTATTCATGAACAAGTTTTTAAAACATTTTAACCATAGCATTAAATTATACCTACTTTACACAAACTTAATTTATAATCTTGAGGTTAAATTCTTCATAAGATGTTGGTACACTCACCTCTGCAACATTAGTATGCTCATCTATTGAAACAAATATCTTATAGAGCAGAGTTTCAAAATAATCACCTTGCACTCGATTCATTACAAAACCTTCAAGAGGAGGAACTAAAATAAACAAAAATAGACTTTTCTCAGTTAAAATAATTTTATAAAACAAGAATGTGTAATTCGAATAGCTATTCAAAAAGAGAAACCTCTCACTTAAAAGACTAAATTCATCTTTTGATTTACCGTACTTCACCCACGCAACAAGACTCCTAAAGTTAAGGTCATGTACTACCCTGTCTACTCAGAGAAGAGTGATGATAGAGCATAAATCCTACAGACAGTAATTAATCCCCATGGACCTCTCAGCACTAGAGGCAGAGGAAGTGCTGGAAGTCACAGGCTTGGTAGCAAGGCCAGGGACTGCATTTAGAATGGGAAGGCAGCAGAGAGGACTGGGCTAAAGCAGAAAACAAAGGACTGACTTACTAGGTTACCCAAAAAACAGGTGGATGGAAAGTTTTGGCTCTCTGCCTTTCTCCCATCATGCCCACTCCATCCAGAGAAGAGGGAAACACATCTGTGTGACTGCCACCCATCTTCTACCAGCCATCTCTGGTGTAATTTGCTCTTTGGGGTTCTCTATTCTGTATCCTCCTCAGTGGGAAGAAAGTCAAGCCTTCCTCAGCACAAGACACTGCCCAATCCTGGCTCTCCACACTCACTAGTTCCCTCTCTTTGTCCAGATGCTCTAATCCAATGTAGTAGAGCGCTCTGCTCAGGCGATAACAGAGGCACTATGTTTCCCTTTACCCCATGGGCACATTTCCCTTGAAAAAAGTCCTGAGAAAGCAGAAGTGCTTAGACCATAGCAAAATTTGGATCTCCCTGTGTCCCTTGACCCTAACACCATCTAAATTATTCTCAACAGAGAAAAATCAGACAAAATTCAAGGGGCCCAAACGAAGACATCATGAAGAACCCACAATGTACATTTCAGGAGGGATTGTTCACTTCAGATCTAGAACATCATCTTCGAAGTTAGTGCTACCCATGGTTCCAGTCATCCAAATACTTTTAAGGATCTAAGGTTTCTTTATAGAAATATTTTAGAATTCTCATGTTTAATATAATTAATTCTTTTACTACACTCTCAGTTGTGTAACTATTAGTAATAACAAATATTTATTGAACACTTACTAAGTGCCAGACAACTGCCAGGGACTTTACATATACAATTTCATTCAATCCTCTTAACCTCATAAATTGTTCAATACCATACCCCTATTTTAAAGATGAGGAAACCACAGCACTGCGAGGTTAAAAATATACATCTAGGCAAAAAGAATGAGGGATATATTTGATAAGATATAGAGTAGTCTCTAATATATACTGCTTTTTTTAAAAAAAAAAAAAGTATGAGCTAGAATACATAATCTGTATAAAAATAAAACCACACACACAAAAAGATATATACATATATGCTATATGCTTAGTATACTTTTGGAAGAATATATAAAAACTTAACAATGGCTTCTGACTGGGGTGGGAAGCAGATGTTTTTATATTCTTTTGTAAACTTAGAATTTTATATCATAATTATTGCCTATTCAAAAAATATTAATAAAAAATATTTTTTAAAAGCACCTAGGAATAACCAAGCAAGTTATAAAGAAAAGATACAATGAAGGCCTGGCTATTATTAAAGGTTACTACTCTAAGTCACTGTAATGAAAATAATATGGTCCAAGAATAAAAACAAATAAGTGAAGAATAAAGGATATAATTAATCCAATATAGAGGGAAATTAAATATATGACAAAAGTTATACTTCCATTCAGTGGTAATGAGTTACTGAAAAAAATATGCTAGCATTTATCCAAATCTTATGGGTTATCCAATTGAAGAAAATTTAAGTTGGGCCCTTATTTTACATCACCTCGAAAAATAAATCCAAAACTACAGTTTTAAAAATAAATGACAAAGGTTTTTAAAAATTTTTGAGCTGTTTATATAACCTAGAAGAACTCTATCTAAGCATAACAGAAATCTAAATGCTCTAAGGAAAAGGTAGACATAAAATGTACAAGTATAAAATGTGATGATGGAATAAATGGATTTTATTTAGCAACAGACCCTTTCATAATTATTCTTGTCGAAGTATTTCTCTCCCCACATTTATTTGTTCCACCATTCACAGTACTTGTTTTTTTGTTGAAACATAGCTGGACTGCTTCCTTTGAAGTCACCTTCAGGTGTCTTTTGTGCTGAATTTGATGACTTCCATGTTATCAAACTGCTTTCCTTTCATGGGTTATTCCAATTTGGGGAACAGCCAGAGGTAACATGGTGACAGCAGTTATAATACCATGGGTCTTGTCTGTACCACCAAAACTTGCCAGATACTGTGTGAGCCATGGCAGAACATGACACTGTAATAGAGAAGCCATCCATTCAGCCCTTCTCTGATGCTTCCTTCAAAACTTAGAAATAACCTGAGCCAATACAATATTCAAACTATCAAAATGGACTGAAATGAACCAATAAAAGACCAATCTCTTTAGGTGGATCTCAGATGAGTCAGTCAGTTTATCAAATGAGATTAGGGACCACAGTAAAGCTTTTATATTTTCCAATGGTGACAGGAAGCCACTACCATCTCTGTCTTCCAGAAATTAATTTCTTGTCAAAATCTTTCAATTTTAAAATTAGTATTTTATTTGTTATAGCGCCCACTATACAAACCAGAATTAGTATTTCATTGAGTATTTTAGCTGTCTCCCAAGCTTAAAACAGAATTCATGTCTATACAAATGCGTTATTAAAGAATCATAACACATGCTAACACAAATGAAGATCAGTACACACTAGTGCATGATAACCAGTCAAGATTTAACACGGAAAGGCAGAGAGAAAAAAAATAAAAGGCTAATTTGAAAAAAAAAAAAAAAAAAAAAAAAGGATTCAATACTGATATGAGGAAGTATTTTTGTAGAAGCTCTATCATCAGCCAATTGTTAATAGTAAGGCCATTCCCTAGAATTTTTTTTGACACTTTATAATTGATCACACAAATATTAAATACCCTAGTATGATAAAAGATAACACAACAAGAATGCTGGAATATATACTTGTAACATATAAATTAAATGTAATAAGTGCTCCTACAAATTGGTAAGAAATCTAACCTATAGAAAAAGAGCTCCATCCTGTGTTCAAAAATGTTAACCACATCATTATTCTAGCAAAACATGGAAATAATCTAAATAACTAGCAATATGGCGATGATTTAATGCACTGATATACCACGTAAGTGTAGAATGAAATACACGAGTGCCTCAATATTGTTTTAAGTTGGGTAAAGTAGAAAGGGAGGAGAGGATGAAGATTAAAAAAATGGCAGTGACATGAAATATAATGCACAGATAAATGGAAATGGAGAATACGCAAGTCTATATTATTGATTATATATAAAAGCTGTGATACACTAAACAAGGACTAAAATGTGACCTAAATTTACAAAAACAATATTCTGATTTAGGATTGTGAGAAATTTATCTTAGATTTCTTTTACTTTAATATAGTATGTACACCAAATACTATAAAAATGAAAATAAGGAATAGAGAGTAATGAGAAAAAAGGGTTTCTTTGCAAAATTGTAACATCAAAGATCCTAGAATGATTTGTGTTTTACTTAATAGAGTAATAATTCTGTGCCCACAGCCATTAAAAAAAAAATAGAAAAATATTAGCATATGCTTACCTGCTATACAACTGTCATCGGATATTGGTACATCCAGATAAATAAATCCTTTATTATATAAACCTATAGAAGCAAAAGCACCTTCTTTTAGATGGAGTACTAAACATTTAAAAAAAACAAACACCTGATTCCTAATTTTCTGTAGTAAAAATTCATACAACCTAATACCATGTGAAAAAGTAAAATAGAAGAATTATAGTTTTCAAGTTTCACCTTCCCTCATATGCACAGAACTAAAAATTTTTCTATGATCCATCTGTATAAATTTCTAGTGGATGTAACTAATTATAGCCACAGTAGAAAACAAAGGACTATGGTCACATTTCACACAATAAGGAAATATTACTATTTAGGAAATATTACTATTTTTATCTAATTAATAAGTAATTGCTATTAATTATTGAAACCTTAAAACACATTTTTATGTTGACAAAAGACCATTTCTACTAACCACTTACTATGTACTACATTGTAATCTAGTGATCCAGAGAGCTGAGGGCCTGCATCGATGATCTTATCAATAGCGCATTTCTCAGGCAAAGTGCATATCTAAGAAAAGCAAAATATTTTTAATTAAGTTCTGTCCAAATTAACTAATCCATATCTCCTCAGATCTATTCATGTTTAAACCAATATTAAATGCCATTTGTTGAGTGAACATTTTTTTTTCATTTACCACTTCAGAACTCTAACAAAAAAGGTATGCACATAACCATCAATTAAGGTGCCAAAAGATGCTACCAACAGAACTCAGAAAACAAAGTAACTATAAATAACAATATTTGCTGGTAAGTAATCAATGTTCACTAATTTACTCACCTTCTTTGAATTAGAATCTGATTCATCTGTGATTCTGAACCTCTCAAAAATAAAACTGATTCAAACTCCACATGATTATTCTAAGTAAGAAGTTCATTATCTTATGTCATAGCTTGACAACTCTATTAGGAAATACTTATACTGAAACAAAATTCTAAGCCTTCCATTCATTTGACTTATCTGTCCTCTGGAGTAAAATGAAATACAAACAAATAAAAAATCTACATGCTCACTTACTTTTTTTCAGCCACACAGAGATATGACCAACCTGGTCTCTAGGGCCCTTTATCCATCACCCTATCCCTTCCCTGTACACCATCTCTTCTAAAATCCATAAGGCTCATATCAAATGTGGTCTGACCACCAACACCACCATTTCCTTTCATCTTGATACTATCCCCCTATCAAAGTACCACCACTTCACACAGTAATTAGCACAGTAATTAAGAACACAGGCTCCAGAGCAAACTGCCTGGGTTAAAATCCTGAACCTTTATTACCCCTATTAAAGGCTTGGTACATGAAATTTGAGCACAGGAGTGGGGTTGGGATCGGACCTAAAGTCAGACATCCCTCTCACATCTGAAACTGCTGCCCCCTAACTACTCGCCTGACTGCCTGATTGCCCCCTACTGCCCCCCTCTGCCGGCCTGGTCGCCCCTCACTGTCCCTCCCCCTGCCGGCCTGGTTTCCCCACACAACCTGCTGCTTGGTCGTTTGGTCACTCTCAGTCCGCCCCCCCACATCCCCCGCCAGCCTGGTTGCCCTACGTAGCCTGCTATTAGGTCATTACTGTGAGGGCATCCTGGACAATTTGCATATTACACTTTTATGAGTATAGATGACTTGAGCCATCTCTTCAATTCTCTGTTCACATTCCTTGTATGTGATATGGGGTACAAATCACACATACCTCTGAGGTTGTTATGAGCAACAAATTGGACAACATAAAAGCACTGGAATAGTGCCAGGTACATTTAAGTACAGAGCAAGTGCCAAAAGTGTTAGCTAATAAGACTATTGGTAGCTGCAGCATCACATCAATTTACCTGAAACTACTATCTAATTAAAACTCCCATACTGCACATGAATCAAGTCCCTCATTATTAAAGAATATCTTGGGAACCTACCAATATTCTAGTCTAATAAGGTTATTTAAATTTTTTATTTTAAGAAAACAAAATAGCATTACTTTTTCAAAAATTAGAGAAGTACAATGAAAAATAGTTTTAAAAATAAAAATAATTTATAAAACAACTACCTTTATGTCGTCTTCTGTGATATATCCAGCCTGCACCACCCACCACGCCTCTATGGAGATTTCTACCGGCTTTACTGGGAGAAGATCACGAGCTGTTTTCCTTCTGAAAAATTTCTGCAATAGTACAATTTGCAATTGGTCTAAGTTTACCACTTTCTTTTTTATCAATCCTATCTGAAGACTGTTTCTAACACACTAATAACTTTCTAAATTCTCATTTCTAAAATTTGTTTTTCTAGATACACTGAATGCAGAAAATAATCTCAAATTATTTTAAAATAAATTACCAGTCATTAAATCTGGATCTAAATCCAGACAAAAATGAAGCTCAGGATGTGAAAATGCATTTGGAAAAGTGTACTCCCTTCACCCACTAAGTGAACCCTGGGATTAGAATGAGCCAGAAAAAAGACCAGCAGAACAAAATTATTTTAAAAATAGCCCAGCCAGTGTGCGTCACTGGTTTAGTGTCAACTTATGAACTGGGAGGTCACAGTTTGGTTTCCTAGTCAGGGCACATGTATGGGTTGTGGGCAGGAGGAAGCTGATCAATGCTTCTCTCTCATCACTGATGTTCATTTCACTCTCCTTCCCTCCTTCCTCTGTAAAATCAATAAGAATATTAAAAAAATAAAAATAAACAAATAAACTGTATGTTCTATCCCTTCAATTGTTTTACTTAAATAATCATTTAAGAGACAGCCTAGAGCCGTGGTCCGAAAACTGCTCTTTGGTCCCTTGAGGGTGGCTCTTCCACAAAATACCACGGCCTGGGTGAGTCAATTTTGAAGAAGTGACATTAGAAGAAGTTTAAGTGTAAAAAATATGGCTCTCAAGAGAAATTTCAATCGTCGTACTGTTGATATTTGGCTCTGCTGACTAATGAGTTTGCCAACCACTGGCCTAAACAATACTAAGTTTTTGTACTGTTTCTGTATGAAGCATATTTTTCTCGATCAGAGAAATTACAATTCATTATTTCTAAAATTAAAAAATTAATCAGACTGTGATCAGGAGGACAAGAAATGAGAAAGCAAGGGAAATGACTAACTTACTTTTGACGATCTACACTGATTCATCAGATCGATGTACTGGTTTCTTCCTATGCCAAGAAGCCTTAGACCTGGAAGGAAGAGCCTGTCCTTTAATCACTTTCAATACACCTTGACCTGTCAGGACACTCAGTCTTTTAGGGAAAAAAACCTTGGCTTTTGTTCATCTTTTGATTATTGGTTGGCAATATCAAATTAAAAGGAATTCTTCAAACAGAATATAAAAGAAAATGAAACTCAGAGAAATGAATTCAAATAAACACTTCTGACAATGCTAAATGAGAACATTTTTAAAAGCAGAAGTCCTCCCAATTTCAGGAAGTCAAAGTGTACTTATCAGCAAAAGTTTCTTCTTATACAACAGAACTATGTCCCATTTCAAATATTATACACTTCATTTAAAATAAGCATAATAGAACACCAGCAAATTGTTAGTTATAATTGTGTATCATGCTGTAAAAACATTACATACAAGTTTGTTTTACACAACACAGCCAAAGTATCGGGAAGAACTTCATTCTCTATAAATATATACACTAGTTCCATTTTTCTGATTTTAACACTCCAAAATATTCTTCTTAGACATTTAGACTAAATCTTACTCTTGACTTGTATCAACAATGATGCTTACTGTTCTCATCTTTCAAGTGTTTCAGGTTAAAAACACACATTACGATACTGACACAACAGCATGCATACACAAGGACACACTAAACATTACACTTCAGCATGATTAAATACTTACAGTCAGCAGCAGTAAAGTTGGGCAGGGAATCATAACTTTTCTCACTGTTCATAATATCCTTTTTAAAGAAAAAAAATTTTAAATGTAAAATGTCCATAGATAAAAACATGTGTCTAAACACGTAGTTCTATAGCAAAAAAAAAAAAAAAAAAAGTAACAATAACTATTACATGAAGCACTGAGATCAGAGTTTGGCAACCTAAAGCATGTATGCCACACAGCAGCACTGACCACCTGGCCTCCCCACCTAATAACTGAAGGCCAGGCTTTGGGTCCGGGTTCCTCACAGCACTCTCTATGAATGCCTTGAAACTTCTGCCCTGTGGAAGCTAAGCTTACCTCTAGGAAAGCTCAGGATTCCAGCCTCTCTACACCTCATGCCTTATCCTAGACTCTTACCCTGACAAAAGGCCACGCAATGTGTCACAGCTCCATCAACACACATCTAAAACATGTACTACCAGCAAAGTGTTTGACCACACAGTCATCTCTGCTCCCAGAAGTCCCAATCAGCTGTAGAGTTGAGGATCCAGCTCTTTCCAACTCCCATCTGCTTTTTAAACCAACTGTTTACTCTGGAGATAACGCCCATTTTCAACCCAAAAGCTATTACTAAAGGTGTAAGAACAGAAATCAGCAGCAAGCACATGGACATAACTGAAAGCTGGTAAGTGGGACAAAACTTCCCTCTCTATCTCCCCAAACCTGTGGACAACACCAGAAATATAGCCAGAGAAGCAACAACGATTCTACTCACTGATTAGCAGCCACCTCCATCATGCTACTCTGGTTCTCAGGAAAGGGACTGACAGAAACCGAGGCTGGCAGGCCTCAAGCTTTACTTTGTATTTCCTCCAAAATAAGGACACAGGAGACGGGGACGTAGAAGTGCCCAAGAATAAGGACATAAACAGAGGGAGCAAACCTCACTATTACTATAGGTGCCTATCTCCTTTAGCTCTAGGCTTCTCTCTGTTCTTAAAGTGGCGAATGAGCACAAAATAGTAGCACTCAACTATAATCAAGCAGCAAATGAATACTAGATAAATGATGCCAGTCTTTACAAAAAGCTCAGTTTTAAAAAGTATATAACTGGTATTTACAGTTATTCAACAGAGGCCTAAAAACTGCCTTTGGAAAAAGGCTAACAGTCTAACTCTGAAGCTAATAATCTGAAGTTAATAATTACAAAAAGATTAGCAGTCTGACACATTATGTAACACTAGATCTATATCATCATTTATTGTTGCTATAGTTAATAGCTAAATGCATTAAGTTTCTCTGAGCTTAATATTTAATCTGTCACTCACATTTTTAACTTTAGTTATGCATTACATGAAATAAATGTTATACAAACTCTGTTAACATAAATGCCTGATTGATGTTATTTATATATATATATATATATATATATATATATATATATATATATATATATATGACTAATATGCAAAGTGTCCCTACAGGAGTTCGACGGGGAGTTCTATAGCTCGGTATGATGTGCGCTGACCACCAGGGGGCAGCAAGGAATGAAGGAAGGCCCTGGACAGCAGCCGAAGGCCCCGATCAGCCCTAATTGCCGGCCAAGCCTTGGGATCCTACACATGCATAAATTTCAGGCCCCAGGCCTCTAGTAATAGCATAAAAAAGAACAGCCCTAGCTGGTTTGGCTCAGTGGATAGAGTGTCAGCTTGCAGTCAGCTTGCAGACTGAAGGGTCTCAGGTTCAATTCCAGTCAAGAGCACATGCCAGGGTTGCAGGCTCAGTCCTCAGTGGGGTTGTGCAGGAGGCTGCCAATCAATGATTCTCTCTCATCATTGATGTTTCTCTCTCTCTTTCTCTCTTTCTCTCTCTCTCTCTCTCTCTCTCTCTCTCTCTCTCTCTCTTCCCCTTCCTCTCTGAATCAATTAAAAAAAAATACATTTTTTAAAAGAACAAATAAAAATAGATACTGTGAAAATATTGATAATGACAACTACAGTGGAACCTCGATTCTTGAACTTAATTAGTTCTAGAAGGCTGTTCAAGATACAATTTGTTCAAAAATTGAATCATTTTTTCCCATTAAAAAAGTAAATTGAATTAATTTATTCCAGACCCCCAAATGATTCCACTTTAACCTTGCTAGTATACACTACATGCCTAATGTACTGTTTAATTTATAAACAAACACTTTCTTAAAGTTATCAAACCAACCCCTCCGAGCCTTATACAAATCACTGTCAGCACTCTTTCCAGGGCACCTTTCCAGAGGACAGTATGCCGCCTCTCGCTGTCCCTGGCTAAGTCAGCAACAGCTTCTCTACCTCTTCAATTGCCTGTGATCATTGTTTCTTTCACACCATTAGCACTCTTGATGGTCTGTTTATGTTTTAAAATTGTGCTAATTGTTCCTTTAGCTAGCAACAAAAACACAAAAATATTCACAGCACAATTTCGTGAGATAAGACTCATACTGGCATTCTCTCCTTTGTTTGTGGCCTGAGAGATGCTTTTTGTCATGCTGATACATCATGAAAGGTTTGTCACATCCAAAACCAAAGTTTGTTCAATCGAGACCTTTTTCTGTGAACAACTTGGTCACAACTTGACCGAGAACTGAATTGTTTGAGATGGGAGACTTTTGAGATGTGAGGTTTGACTGTTCTTCTACAAGTGTGGCTAAAACAGTTAACTTGTAACCATCAGATCTTCTTACATTATAAACTCAGAAAAAAATGTCCAATGTTGCAAGAGCTGCAAAGCTGGTCATCTGCAAAGTGTGTCTGACGTGGTCCCATCCCATTCCTAACGGTACAGATACACAGTAAACTCACCTCCATAATCCCAGTATAGTATGAAAATGGTGTTATCCTCAGGCCCTTCACCATAATATCTGATAAATGGTAAGGGTACAGCATGAGATGGTCTCGACTGTACTTTAGTAGTTCCTCATAGTACCTGCGTTCATCTTTCTTGACATGTTTAACTGAGGAAAAGAAGGAAATTCTTGATTTTTTCACATGTCTTATACTTACATATAATTACAAATGCAATGAGAAATACTTTACAAATCAATATTAATTAAAAAGTATATAAACTGGAAGAAAATAAATAAAATAAGTTGGAACAAAGAAACATTATACCACAAGAAATATATAAGTACTAATGCACAATATATATAAATAAAATGTATAATAGAACAGATAAATACCAAATCAAAAAGTAAAGAAAGTAAGCATGGAATGTCTCCCAAAAAAAGGTATAAAACATAATCTATAATCTATCCAAACCCTTACTATGTCACTTTACAAGATAGCCAAACTGAATGATAGTTTTTTATAAAATGAAGTCTATTTTTAAAAATTATTTGTTGGTTTTTGTGATTTAAATGTAAAAAGACATCTGACTTCCATGGAATGAGTTTAAAAAGAAAACCTCTCTCTGAAATACTTTATTTAAAATAAGAAGAATACCTAGAAGGGAAGACCAGCAGAACAATATATTAAACTGATCAGTAACCTGACAAATAAAAACATGAAACTAACTGTGTTTTAAAAGTATTCTAATTATTATAGGAGTTTTCATTAAAGTTATATTATTTGGAAAACTTACAGAGACAAAAACAAACTCAAAGTAAAAAATTATTAGAACTAATATACTTCTGTTCTAGCATGTTTTCTTACCTAAGGTAAAAAGAGGGCATTTGAATCAAGACTAATATTCTATAGGTCAAACAAATCAACTAACAATACTCTGAAAAATGTTTCATCAGATTTAGGAAGAAAAATTTACTTGCTAATGCAAATTGTTCGGTGGAATGGGTCAGTATAGTTTCTTAAAGTCTGCACATGGAATAATTTCAGTACTATAAAATATGTATTGAAAATATAGGATTTATGAAATAATTCAGCAACAGTCAATTCCATCTCAATGTAAAAATATCTCTACTTACCTAAGTTATTTCTATATCGTAACTGATTGCGGATGCTGTACAGGACAACCTGCTTTTCATATTCCCTCTGTGAATTTCCAAGACTCTAAAAAAATTTCAAATAGATTTAAAATAGCTTCTAAACGATAGTACTTTTTCCCCATAAGATTTCAAAACAATGTCCCCTAACTTTATCTGGAATTAAACTTTCCAGAACAGAATAGAAAAGACTTTCTTAAATATTATACTACTAAATTTCTGCTATGGTTTTAGAGCAAACTTTCAATGTGTTTATTTCCAGTCTGCTATTCTAAAAGGACTTACGAAAATTATCTGAAGTATTTCACATAAAATAAAAGAGCAGTTTGAGAGCATAATTTCACTTAACTAAGCACTAAGTTCTACTTATAAAGATTTCCTTACCTACCTGTCCCCAATTTAACACCGTTGGGTGAATGGATGGATGGTTTCTTGCACCTACATTTATTTAAATTTAAGAATGACAACAGACCCTTTCTGATATTTTTAGCTGAGGGATATGACTATTAAGATTTCTGGAGAATGTACTTTCAAATGTACCTCTAAATTTAAGATCACTTCTTTAAAACATCATTTCCTTATGATTTTATTAGAAAACATTTAGACACTTTAAGAATTCCAATATATTGGAATGATCAAAAAACTCTTTCCAGCTGTGCACTTAGTATTTTAGGCTCAAAGTTGGTTCTCATGAAAGCAAAGAATATGTTTGCCTGATTATAATCAAATTATATTCAATGTGTAACCATAAACTTAATTCAATATGTGATTGCTATACTTCTTCTAATTATTAGGTATAATCCTTCCGATGTGCTATAAAATAAAATTAGACATCTTAGGAAACTAACAACAGAAAGATCAGAGGGTTTAGTTATTATACGTCCTACTCACAGGTTTTTAAAAGCCCAGGTAAACATCCATACACATACTTTCATTTAAGTCAATCTTAATAAAACAGATGAAACTCACATCTAATAAACTGGCAAATAATTGGAACCCTTGGTGGATAGTATCTTAAGAAAAAAGAGGTGATGTGAGAAAACTAAAAATCTTTCTTCCTGAAACTAGATTATTTATCACAGCTTAAAACACAACTCACTCTATTGTCGGAATGTATGTGCTGATTATGTAACTCCAGAAGAAAAACTGTAACTCAAGCCACTCATATAAAATATAAGGGTCCATTATTTATAAGCTAATTAGAAAGTGCATTATCTATTAAACATCTAAGACTTTGAACTAGTCATTAATGACTGGTCCTGATCAATTCATGTGTGTGCACACACATACCTGAGAACTACATTCACAGTTGATTTTACTCTTCACTGCCCACTACATAAAATATAACTGCTTTGTGCATAAAGATTCTTTGGCTTCTCTCCTACTCCTACCCCAAATTTCCCATCATTCACATTTTAAAACACTGTTGCCACTGCAGGAGGCAACTAAAGAAAGCTCATTTTACTCTCAGAGAGCGCTGACCCTGCAGAAATACTGACCGGTCTAACAAATGGAGTTGGGCTGCATAGAAAAGGATCCTAACAGATGAAGGTGCAACAGAGGGACTGGCCATAACATACCCACCATCAGATGTTCCTACAAACCCCACCTCAATGTGCAACTCAAAAAAAACAAAAAACAAAAAAAAAATTTTTTTTAATTGACCCTTTTGGGATTATACAGAACCTCATCATAAGATTTAAAATAAAATAACTATGAATTGGTTTAAACAATGAATACAAGATACTGGTAAACTTACTTTTCAAATCCTGAAATAATGGCCCTATCCACAACTTTTTGTGTTTTTTTTTTCAAGTCTAGTATGACCCATAACCCATAAAATATTTCATCTCATCCATATAAAAAACAACCGTTTTGAAACAATAGTTTGAAATAAACAATTTTTTAACAATCTGAATCCCTTTCCTCCAGCTTTCAGAACCGGAAAATGAGTCATTTTCAAATTAAACTTATCAGAAGTTGCTGGAAACTTTATCAAAGTACTTAGTATTTCTCTAATGCCAAATCCAAATCCTTTTCACAAGGAACACCCTCCCCACCCCCCACTTTTAAGTTGCCTGAGCTTTAATTCAGCTCCTGGGGAAAGCTCTCAGGCTAATGCCATCATTCATTCACTCCAAATATATTTACTAAAACCTAAATACACATAGGTGCTAAAAATACCAAAGCAAAACAAGTAACGAAATGAGGAAATGCTCTATAGTGGGCTAAGTGCTCTCGGAGTGGAGAAATAGTGCCGTGGTGACTGATCTGAGGGTCCACTGATCCAGATTTCGGTCAGCGACCCCTTCCTGGAGGAGTTAGTATCTGAGATTTACCAAGAAGCTACCAGTAAGTCTCCAGGAGGCGGGCAGTGAGAGAACTGGGGCTGTGTTTTAGAAAGCTCACTCCAGCGTAGTGTGAAGAATGGCTGGGAGGGTCCCATTCTGAGGGCAAGACACAGAGAGAGAAAGCTGATGCAGCCAGCCTGGGGGAGCCAGCCTAGGGAAACTCTGCGACGGTGTACCTGTGCAGGTGGGGTTTGCAATGCCTTCTGCAAGTGGAACTTATCCTAAGCTCAACAGCTTTTCTCTTCAGTGCTCTTACCAAAAAAGTTTTCAAATTTAATATCACATTTGTACCTAATTTTAAGTGTTCTGAAATTACTTTTAATAGTCATGCCTAAGGTTTAGAAATGTTTTTACCAATATTAATTAAGGCCAGTTACTCACGTTGGACATAACCTTCCATTATACTACATTTATTTTTGTGAAAGGAAGAGCAGAGGGAAAAAATGGAAACAAAGGAAAGGACTGTTGGTTCTTCCGATATGCCACAAAACCCTAAGGAACAAAAGTGTCCACCAGAGCCTTCACTCACTCTTAACAGGAGAAACTTACTCCCTCAGATTAGACCTTTCTTTTTCCAGGTCAAGCTAAGAACTACACGGGCGGCCACTGACAACCAAGACTTCTGAGTTCCCTAAATGTATCCTTCCACTTTTCCACTTTCTTGAAATCTTGAAGTGAAAGTATTTTCTCTGCCACACGATGGATATCCAAACCTTAAATTATTCATTTCCTAGAACTAAGTCTCCAAGCTGGGAGAGGAGGCAGAGTAATAATCCTTCCACAATCGCCACCCCTCTCCCGAATTTTCCAATGGGACTGCCCAGCACCAATGGAAACAGAACTTCACTCTCAGCCCAGTGGAAGGCCAATCTAGGATCGGAGAAACAGTGGCTCGTCTATAGCACCTACGCTACCTTCGTATGATTTTACACCACCTGCCATGTTCTATGTCTATTCACCTACGACTTTTTTTTTTTTTTTTTTTTTTTTTTTTTTTTTTTTTTTTACTAAAATGCAAGCTCCGTGAAGCAGGCTCTGTCTTCAACAGGGCATGGCATGCAGTAGGTGTTCAATAAATACATTAAACAACCGACTAAAAATTAACCTCAAGCATTTGAGATTTAACTCTCAAAACCTCTCTTGTGGAAACGTCTCTTATAAACCCATCTTGTTCATGAGGATAAAGTCAAACAAACAAAAAAAATCTGGCTGACTGCTTCTTCAGCTCACCTGCTACCAACCCCACGCACACAGAAGACCCGGATCCCTATCTGCGCCTCCAACGCCCGTGACGCGAGGTCAACCGCTTCTCTCCAAACACGCTTCCACTCGTCCTTCGGAAATGACCTGCCCGCTCCCTGGAAGATCTTTATTCCCGCCTTTACTCGTCCTTTGGGGCCCCCGGTACACAGCCTCGCGACCACTCCCTGGACCAGGTCTGTCTCTCTTCCTCCCCAGGGAATATGTTTATATAAACACACAGGTAGGTCAGAGTTGCTGTCACCTGTAAGGAATTCGCTGGCTTCCCCGCGTCCCTTTCCCGCGCCCTCAAGCTCCGGAGGTCAGTGTTTCCAATCTGTTTCGCGGGCGCCTCGCCCGATGCTTAGGTAAGTGGAGGCTCCCAGCACCAGCGCCAGGCGAGCCCAGAGTGCGATCCCATCTCATCCCACACCTTTCCGCCTCGGCCTGGCTGCCTCGGCGGCCCCCGAGCCGCCCCCGCCTCATCCCGGGGCCCCTGGGTTTCCCCAGACCCCGGCGGGGGGACGGGCGGGAGTCAGCCGGGAGCCGCCAGCCCCGGCCCCGCGGGCGGGCGGGCGCAGCGAGCGTGTGCGGCGCGGCGGGGCCCGGCCCCCGGGGGCGGCCGTACCTGCCTCACGTTGGCCGGCAACTTGCTCCAGGGGTAGTTGTGTCGGATGTGGAACTCCACGTCTATGTTCATGGTGCCCCGAGCCCCGGCCGGCGGGGGCGTTCCGGCCCGCGGCTGGCACGACGCCTCCCGCCTCCCGCCTCCCGCCCTCGGCCTGTCCGGGGAGCCCGCGCTCACACGGCCGACGGCCGGCTCAGCCCCATGGCCAGGGCTCCCGACGGCTCGGCGGCGCGGCCGGGGCCAAGGGGCACGGGAGCAGCAGCCGGGGGGGACGGGCACGGGGAAACCTTGGCAGCTTCAAGTTTCTTCCTAGTTTCGCCCGCCGGAAATGGCTGTGGGCGTGCGTCACTTCCGGCCGCTGGCGCGAGGCCGAAGGGGCGGGGCTCCAGGCTGGCCTCAGGCCCCGCCCCCTGTATTGCGGGGCGGGGCTTCGAGGTGAGGTCCAGAGGTGCCCGGGTACCTGTGCCCCTACCCAGGCCCTTCACCGCCTCCCGCAGTCACTTTCCGGATGAACCCAAATAGGCGCTTGGGTTGGCGCTGCCGCTGTTGGGTGACCCACTTGCCCCCAAATGCGAACCCAGGTGGCCCAAGAACCGGCGATTTCAGGAGAGATTTGAGAAGGAGGGGTCATGGCTGGTTTCAAATAGGGCAAGAGCAGGGAGCCCCCAGAGGCCTTCTCCACAGCCAGCCCCAGGCCTGGACCTCTGGGCACCACCACCTTGTGAGTTCCTAAGTCAGAGCTTGACCCACAATTTTAGTGAGAAGTTGGGAAGTAGCAGAGCAAAGGTCTGGTGACCTTTCATCCCTCCCAGGCAGGAGCTGAATCTTGTGGAAGAGAAACTTTGGGACCTGCTTCAAACAAAGATCCAAATTCTGGCGATGTAGAGAGATCCAGGGAGCTGAGAATGTAAACAAGCTGGTGCTGGTAAGTGAGGGCGGCACAAAGGGAACCCGGGAGATAAAGACCCTTGCAGGCAGTCTCTTGGTTCCTGCTTTCTTCTGCTCTCTCCATACAGAGGCCTCCAGAGTCACTTAGTAAAGGCAGAAATCCAGACTATGGCTTAGTTTCAGTTCTAGAGAGATGCTTGGGAACAATTTCTTCCAGAATTTGTTTCACTGGCTTAGCAAACAGCATTGTTACCGGCAACAACGAGAGACAAGCTCAGTATTTTTGTAACTATTTTTCAATTTTAAACAATATTGTTGTTTTTTATACATGGACACTTGTATGCTCAGGAACTTTTATAAGATACCTAGTCCACATCTCAGCAGCTGACCAGTCTGACTTGTGTCTGATCGGTTGAAACAAATGTAGTCCACACTCCCCTTGTATAGATGTATTGGTCTGAGGTTATCCTATATAATAAAAGGCTAATATGCAAATAGACCAAACAGAACAACTGAACAACCAGTCACTATGATGTGCGCCGACCACTGGGGGCACAGTGGAACATCATGGGTGTTGGCAGCAGGCAGCAGAGCAGCGGATATGGTGGGTGTTAGCCCCGATGGGATGGTGGAGCAGGTGAGTAGGGATGCCAGATCGAGGCAGAGTGCTGGTTGCTGTCACTGGGGCAAGCCTCTGGTGGTTACTGAAAATTCTTTACTCCTGTGCACTGCAGTCCCAACCACTGCCGGCACCGGCCCCAATTGCTTCGCACCGTCAGCAGTTACGAGCGGGGTCAGCACCATCAGAGAGTGGGAGTGGCGGTATTGGGAGCGGAGCTGCCAGCAGACAGGAAACCGGGGGCCATGGAGGGAGAGGCTGGGCAGGGGCTCAGAGGATGGGCCAAGATTCACCCCTGTGCCCACAGCAGCCTTGCAGCCCACAGTTCCTTTCAAGGTGCAAACATTTGTGCACTGGGCCCCTAGTCCAACTATAAGAGCCCACAGTGAAGTGCTTTGAATGCTGTGTTTACAGACTTTCATCATCAGAGCTAAAGTTAAAAAAACTCTGACCATGAGGCGTTTATTCAACCAATATTGATTTCCTCTCTGCTATGTATAAAGCCCTTGACTTGCAATAGATTGTTGTTCCTCACAACCTTAGGAAGGAATAGCACTATTCCTATTCTGATTTAACAGAGGAAGAAACAGCTTGGCAGGGCAGCCCGACGTGCTGGTGAGATCACACAGGTGGTAGTGACAGAGCCAAGCCGAAACCCAAAGCTGCCTGATGGCAGAGCCGTCCTTTTAATTCCTCCAGCCAGGCTCTCCCTGAATTGCCCTGCCTCTGGTTCCAGTTCAGACAATGTTCACTTGAAGTCAACAACACAAGTCTCCCTCAAAGATCATGTTTAATACTTCTAAGTATAGAACCCATATTCCTCCAAAGTCTAACTTTGATTTAATGCAATGTAAGTAACAACAAAAATGAAAGTCAACATATTATTAAACAACGCTTTTTAGCTAATTATAACAGTTAAACAGACAAACTTCTGCTACATTCACCTTTTTTATCAACAAATATTGAAGATAATGTGGATACATCAAGAACTATAAACGTAGATGGGACATGGTGGAGATGAACTCCCGCAGAAGCCGTAAGACAAGGACCTTTGAAAAGTGGGCCAGGAAAAGAAAAGACCCTGACTTCGTAGTTACAATAGAAAGAATGAAAATAGGAAGACTTTAACTTAGTGAGTAGCCGAGAGAGGCAGAATTTGAAGGAGGAAATGGTAATGGGTCAAAGCTAAGTGTGGGAAGAATTCAAATGACAAGCCCCTCAGAATAGAATCTGGTGACAGAGTTTGGCTTATGAAAACTGTTAGAGTGGGAATTTTTGATTCAGAAAAGGGGGGTTTGGGTGCTTTGGTGGGGAGAGCAGGGAGAGCCAGAGAGGCCGTGGACTCTGCCCCAGATAGAATTGTCCGTGCTGACACCAGGCCAGACCTTGAGATAGGGTCTCATGGCCCCTTCCCAGCATGTAGGCCTTCTTTCACAGATCACTGTCAGCTTTCTGAAGAACAGGGTGACCCTGTGAATAACATGGTCATCAATGGCATGATCCTGATGTTGCTTGGGAAAACTTTTGTCTTGGGTTGCTTGTTCTGCAAAAACAGGATGTCATTAATGTGCTTAAAAGTGGTCCTGCACAAAGGGTCGGGGCTGCTCTCTGGACTCCCTGTGTGGAGAAAGATAGAGCAGTCGCCGGCTGACTGGCCAGCTGGTTGGCCGGTTGGCCAGCTGGCCAGCTAATAAAGGCTCCCTAAATTTTAATTTGGTCTGGACTCCAGTGGTCGTTCACTCATGTTCACTTCACAACAAAAACCAGGATGCTCATTAAAGTGCTGATCTGCCTCGTTTCCCCCAAGGTGACCTGTCTTTGAGAGCTTGGAAAACAAAGCAGTTCAGAGAGACAACAGGTCAACCTACAGGGGTCAGGACAGGACTGCTCCCTCAAACCGCGGGAAGCACAAACAACTGCTCGTTGGTAAACAGTAATGACTATCCTTTTAGGTCCCAGACTCAGGCCCCGGCTATTTCTGCTTCATTAGCCCTTTCCTTTTCAGCTTCCAGAGGGGTCAGAAGCTGCAGCGTGTGAGAGGCCCTTTCCCAGCAGCTGCCATGCAAATGAGCTTGTGGGTGAACCCTGTGTTCATAACTTCAAGGGCAACGAGATTCAATCTTATCTGACTTTACCAATGCAGACTAAGGAAAATTACCCAAATGGGCAGGCTGCCCTTCGGACAGACTACAGAACTGTTTCATTCCTGAAATTCCAACAGAAATAGTGAGCAGAAACAATCTGAATATAGGGAGCTTTCTGGTGATCTGATTTCACAGATTCCAGAATATCTCTTTGTGTGTTATATAGAATAACAACACCCGAAAGATGTCTATATATGCCAAGACTATGTTCCAACTCATGGCAAAGGGAACGTTTCAGATGTGATTATGTTAAATTTTAAGATGGGGAGATTATCCTAGATTATGTGAGTGGGTTCAATGTAACCACTGGGTCCTTATGAAAGGGAGGCTGGGGGGCCAGAGTCAGAGACGGAGATGTGACAATGACGCAGAGGTCAGAGTGACTTCTGGCCACAAGGCAAGGTATGTGGGCAGTTTCCTGGAGCTGGAAAAAGAAAGAGATTTGCTCCCAGATCACGACTCTGCCAACTCATTTTGGATTTCTGATCTCCAGAACACAAAGTTAAGAAATTTGGGTCATTTTAAGTCACTAGATTTGCAGCAATGTGTTATGGCAGCCATAGGAAATTAACATACTCCCCCCACCAATAAACTACTCCAACACCCCAACAGCTGAGGCATTAAACTTCATAATTAAATCACTATAATTTAAATGTAAATCTCTGTAGGAGGAATAATAGCTCTTTCACCTTATTGTGTGCTTTTTTTGGTTTGCTTGCTTGTTTTGTGGAATTTTTTTTTGAGGAGGTGAGTATATATGAACTATCGCATCCTATTCTGAAAGTTTGAAAGAGGAAGAACTCGGGATGAGATGAGACCAGAGAAGTTCCTGTAGAGGAGGCGATGATGTCTAGAGAAAAGAAAGGGGAGGAAGCCACTGGAGACATTTTCTGTTTCACAATTTTGCCTGGGCTTGACCTTGGCCCTGGGTTTCCCACATGCATTGCTCTCTCTCAAGAACCAATTTCCCACATGCATTGCTCTCTCTCATGAACCAATTCACTGCCTCCTGATGCTCAACACCATTGTTTCCACCTGACAGGCTTTTGCCCTTGCTGTTCCATTGGCATTTTTTTAAAATTGTTTTTATTGATTTTTAGAGACAGAGAGGAAGGGAGAGGGAGACAGAGAGGGAAAAACATCCATTGGTTGCCTCCTGGTTGAGTCCTGACCAGGACCTTTTGATGCATGGACCACACTCAACCAACAGAGACATACATACTGGCCAGGATGCTGTTCCTTTGACCTTGAATGCAAGCTTTTCCTTAGACCTTTGCATAGCGGGCTTCCTTTATTCCACCAATTGTCATTTAACGGGGCCCTCTCCAACTACTTTGTCCAACCTCCCCACTCCTCCTCCCCCTCTGTCTAACACATCACCTTTGTTTATTTTCTTTGCTGCAAGGAGTCACTTTCTGACA